CAGCAACAACAGCCGAGTTTACAAAATGATATTATAGTGTCTTCATCTCCATCGAAAGTGTCTCACTCTGATTCACGACGTGATCGTTCGAAAGGTGAAATCTTCGAAGATGTCTGGATGTGATCTTTTCATTTGGTTGTTTAGTTCGAAGTGATAGTCCAAACTTGTCGGAAGGTAGCGACTCGACGAATTATTTGACATCCGTTAGTGTTGAACGATATCACAATCGGCCAACATCTGCAATACATCGTTCAACAAAAACCGAGGGAATCAGTCGTCATCAATCATCGAAATATCATTCAACAAATCATCCAGATGATTTCAATCGAGACAATTACCCGAATTCATTCGCCAAATCTGTGGATCAACAAGGAAATTATCGTTCGTCGAAATCTAAGCGATCCGTTGAATGGGACGAAGAAAATATTCAACGGAATGAAGGTAAATTCAAGACCAAAACGTGTTTTAATTCACCCTGCGTGATACCAACATGTATTAAACAATAATTGAACCTTCTTTTTATCCCCGTAGAATCTCTTAAATATGCACTAGTGCCATATACCGGTAATAAACGCTCTTTATCCGTCACTTGCTCATAAAAACACGAGCATCTGTAGTAACCATCTGTGTAGTTCAGTATTTCACTATTTTCCTCGTATTCTACAAAATATCCGTTCTAATATGATTTGTTTCTCTTTTTTTAGGGCCATACAATCGAGGTATTTGATTCATTCGTAAATTCTCTTTAAGCAACTTTTGTTTTAGATCTTGGTTCTTATGACCATCATCATCGCTTACCAAAACAACGTTCTCCGGAGAGATCGAATGATTACGCACCTCCCTCGACCGCATTATCGTCGCCTGCTTTACATCAACAAAATTATAACCTTTCTCGAAGTACCACATTACCTGATTCTGATCATCAATCACGTCGTTCAAATAGTTATCATGTATCGAACAGACACATGAACAACGACGATGATGCACAACATGACGGTCAGTAAAAATCAGTTCGACTTGATTGCTTCGAAATCTATATCTCCGATTTATATAGATCGTCACCAGCATCGACACCGTCGACCGAGCGTCGAAACAGCTAGGTAAGCTCATTGGAAAACATCACGAAAAACATCCAAATCGCTTTTTTTTATTCTAGTCCAAAACGTCCTTATGCTCCATCATCTATTACTGATATTCACATCAATGATTTGGTGAAATTTTCCCGACCAGGTGGTAAAATTAGTAAAGGCATTGTGAAATACATTGGACCTATTCCGGACAAAAGTGATCAATATCTCGGCCTTGAGTTAGAAGACGAAGGTTCGTAGAAGGTCCTTTTTCCATCAATAATATTTATTTATCCACGTTCTAGAGAGTAAACACGACGGTGTTTATCAAGGACAACGTTTATTTCAATGGTAAACCTTGCCTTGCTTCGGATGTTCACCAGCTTTTTCTTTCTTATTTATTCTGTTTAGTAAACCAAACAAAGGAGTGTTCGTTGGTTTCAGCAAAGTAATCATGGCCTGGAGTGGCAAATAGGCTCGAGTACAATCAGACAATCACATACGAAAAGAAAATCTCATTTTTTTGATATACATAGAGAGTTAAACGATCTATTTGTTGTTCTTCTCCAAGTTTTCTCCATATTAGCTCATGAAAATAGTCTTCAAGAACCTAAAAGCTCGAATGAACCGCTCATAATACAACAGAATGGCTAGACGTATTTTGAATACAGGAATATTTTCACTTCTTTTCTCTTTCTCCATGCATTTCATTGACAGAGTAGATTAAACCGTAATGTGAATTCTCTATCATCGTTTTTTGCGCTCTCCTCCTTTATTCTAATCTCATTTTTTTCTCTCTCTCTTGGATTTGTATTTTACGTAGAATGGATTACTCAAAATATACAGTGACAAACTTTATTTCTCAATGAAATACTTCATCATTCGATTACCAATTACATGGTTGATAATCTTTTAGAAAGCATCCGTAAGGAATATCAAGATCAACTTTTCCGCCAGCTAGTTGTCGATAAGTATCAATAATTGGATCAAGAATACGAGCGGCAGCATCTTCTTCATCGAGCGGAGTCTGAAAATTGTGTTTGAGCAGTTTCTTCATCGCTTTTTCCGGAGGGTCTTCATCATTAATCCAACCTAGAAAACAACTTCCGAGAATATTCTCATATGTTGTCAAGATATGAACCTGTATCAACTGAAACCATGTAGATGTTTGATTTTTGATAATCCATTGCTGACGTTCGTGTCATCATGTTCAAGGCTGCTTTGGCAGCATTCGTATGTGGGTGTCGATCACTTTTGTTCAAACGAGAAAACGAACCTTCCATAGCTGAAACATTGATGATAAACTTAATATCTTTTTCGTTTGGATGACGATCAGCCATTAAAATTTTTAGTTTACTATTTAGAATAAATGGTGCTAGAGTATTGATCGTCAGAACTTCATTGACTTCGTTGGTTGACAAATCACCGAGACGTAATAGCCACGAGTTAGTCGTGCGAAGGTCAATCGGCTGTTGATTCACATCGAATGTAGCTGTGCTAGTGATTGACGAGGTTTGTTCAATCGTACCATTCGATTGATTATTCATCGAAGGTAGAGCTAAACAGTCTGATAGATTTTGAATCCGATTAGAAAGCGGAACTAATCGTTGATAGAACTGCAAATTTCCTTCGAGAATGCTCTGCTGATCATTTGGTAAAAGTGAATAATTTGTCAATCTTTCGTTTTTATACAAATATTGATAATAATCTTTAGGCCGTTGAATTGTTTGACATGCGTTATTGATTAAGAAATCTAGTCGATGGTATTTTTCGAGAATCATTTCTGTAAAGAATTCCACTAATTGTGAATATCGAAAGTCAACACCATACACATGTATACGATCCTTCCATTGCTCGAAATCTTGTTCTTTGTGCAAACGATGTAGAAAGTCCATCGGAAAGCGACTTGTCGCAATCACAAAACAATTCGAACGTAATAATTTCAGAACAACTCGAAAACCAATTTTCACTCGACCACCGGTGACTAAAGCTACACGATTTGACAGATCTGTTGTTTGCAAGCGTTTCTCGTAATTAAACGTTGCACACAATGGACAGAGTCGATCGTAGAAAAAGTGTAATGTTCGATATTTTGTTTTACAGACGTAACACGCATCTGGCTGAAGCAATTCCTGAGAAAAGTCAGCAGATGTTTCTTGGCTTTCGATTTGCACAACGCCATCCGGAACGAGAACATCCTTTAATTCGAGCTGTTGAAGTGTTTGAGCTCGACCCAATCGAAGCAAACATGTGTTTTTCGCAGTTTGATCTAGTTGTCGAATTCGCCGACGATCGTCTTTGGCCTTCTTTCGAATAACTCGCTGTTCCTTGGTGTATAAATCATGGATTAATGGTCGAATGAGATTGTATTCACTCGATGTCATTGATGGATATCCATCGTTAGCTTGAAATTTTAAGAGAACTTTCACACAGATGGAGAGATCAGCCGCTGAAATCGGAGATAGGTGGTCAGTTTCTGTCATTACAGTGTGTCTCCTAAGGTTTCATCATGTAAAACGGAGACTAACGATGGAAGTAGTGAAAAAATTCGACGCAACCTTGTAGTTTTTTTATTTCACAACACGAGTGCAATGTGTATGTTTTGAGAAAAGGAGAAAGAAATAAAGCTATGCTGATGGAATGAGTCATCAACATCGTCAGTGGTAATTGTGAAAATGAGAAGATTTTTAACCTTCGACATGCTCATCAATACGCTTAGTTGGAACAACTACGATAGCTGTTGCATAATACAACTGGTATGAAATGCACTACCTTGCTGTTTGAAGAACAATTTGAATGAAACAGAGTCGATGTTTCACTTTACATGAAATCGATTCTTCGAACATGTCGAGATACTTCATCATCGCTGCACTTTTAGCTACAAGTAAATCAATACAAAAGAAACATTTCCTGGCGAAAATACTTTTTTTATCGTTTAGATTTGAGTCTTTCAATTGGGCCGTATGTTCGCATCTGTAATCATGGTGTTTTTCTAGCCAAATGTTATCTTGAAATGCAAACTCTCACTTATGGACTATCCATTCGTCGATCTGATACTGGATTATTTCCCGTAGTTCAATGCGCAACTCTAGACATGCCTTATGATGTTGTTTGGTCACAAATGGAATGCAAAGCACTGACGTTTATTGCCACTTATCGATCAATATTTATCACAGAAATTCCATCAGGACTACTCAATACCTGTTTTACTCTAACTGGCACGATACTAAACCCATCGTGGTCACAAACGCGTTGTTAACTTGATTTCGTCCGTAACAAAGAAAGAAATCTTCTTGATAGTACATTGCTTGATGTTTGTTCTCAATAAAGTGTTGATTTTTTTACTCTCATAGCTATCTGGAATGTTCACATTCGATCACTAGTGACATCTAGTAAGATGTTTTATTTATAAAACATTGACATGCTCATATTTAGCATAGCGACAGCGACATTAAGCTATGTTATATCCTGTTTCGTTCACCGGTTAACCACTTGACCGAAAGGCTAAGACAAACATGAATCATATATCTTATTCGTTCTCGTCTTAATTCCAATGAGATAGATCGATCGTTTTTTTATTTTCCTGCACATTAGGTCGACTAAGAAAAATATTATTTTTTTTCCTCTCTCGTCGGTTTTTCTTGTTGATGACAAAATAGCTATCATATCGGTCTTATAAAATCTTAAGTCAACAGAAGCGAGTACAAAGCAGTGATCTTAATTAGCTACTCCTTTTCTCACACAATATATTGTTACAGTCAATTTCTACGAATCAGATCAGCATCTTGATTTATTGTTGTGACATCCGTTTTCGTTTCTCGTTCCCGACTAATTCGATGCAATTATGCAGAGCAGTTGTTTTTTCTTTTTAGAACCATCGATTTGCTCGTTCAAGATCTCTTATTTCTTCTCGAACACCGGTGAGCAAAGACAATGACGACCAGTGATGGCGTCACTCTTCGTCATCCGCCAATTCCAATGGTTGATGTTCATCCTCGATTAGATATCGATACTATATCGATACTTAGTTCTCAATCGGATAGTGTTCCACATTTATCGTCCTACATTGAATCTGACGATGAAGGCAAGGGTTTAGTGGGCAGTAACTCAACACGTTTACATGAAGCGATCGCTCAAACTTCATCCTTAACATCTGCATCTCAACATCAGCCGTCGGCATTCAAAAAAGATTGGGCCATGTACTTGACGAAAACAAGTAATGGTGGTCATAATAAACACCGTCATAATAATGAGAGTTCAAGTGATACAAGTGAAAGTGACGATGATGACGAATCATCCTCGAGTATTTCAGATGATAATGGAAGTGATCAAGACTTTGTCGATGATCCGTGGACAATAAATACCGTACAACGAGAATATTATACAAAACAATTTCGAGATATCCAGCCAGATATAACAAAAATAATTAGTGGTAAATGATATATTTACGATCTACGATCCGATTTCATAAGAGTTGATTTTGATTTCAGGTAATATAGCAAAAGAATTCTTTGAACGTTCACATTTACCAACAAGTGAGCTGTCACAAATTTGGAACCTATCGGATGTTAATCATGATGGTGCATTGTCACTTGCTGAATTTTGTACTGCTATGCATCTTGTCGTTCTACGTGTTAATGGTTTCGAATTGCCTGATGAACTTCCACCACAATTACAGCCATATACACCATTAATTGATTTATCCGATTCGACAACACAGCTTTCACAAACAAATGAACAAGCAGAGAATTGGGCAAACTTTAAAACTACTAACAGTGAACTGCCACCTAATCCACCATTAAATCACGATGAAAATCCAAATGCACCGAAACAATTCACCTACGGGCCACCATTACCTGACAATCACCGCATTGTTGCGCCAGTTGCTGTTCGTTTATCTCCACCACCTCATTTACCACCGACGGCATCAGTTGCTACTCCAAGCGCGACATCGAAACCACCTCCACCTCCGCCGCCCCCGCGTGTGCCTGGGCGAACAGCGTCAGTTGATATTCCACCCCAACCAGTTCTACCACCACGTACAATAGTCAATGACACACCTCAACGAAATCTCACCCTAACTACCAGCAATAACAATAGTTCGTCTACGAATACGACGCCCTATTTCTACAATCGAACGCGACCATCAGTTGCATCTACACCTCAACAACCGGATGCAAACATTCTTCTTGGCCAGATACGCGATTTATTACAGCCTGATCATTTACAAGAATTAGCCGCAATTATCTCAACACCATCAGCTACCACGATTGAGAATCTCCACGTAGCATTAAATCAAACGAAAACACGAAATTCAGTACTCAAAGCCCAATTGAAACATTGGGAAGATCGACTGACAGATCTCATTGATAAACGTATCTCATTAGAACTTCAATATAAATTGCAACAGCAACAGCAACAGCAGTAGTAATAGCAATAACCATAATGGCATCACTTGTTAGAATCGAGTTGTGTATCGATATACACATATAAACGAAGAGCGCCTCTTTTGTTCGATCTAATCGGCATGTGTGTTCTTGCTCAACATATTCCTATACATTCTTCTTCTTTTTGTCTCGAAACAAAACTTTTCTCTCATTTGTTTTTCTTTTTGTTCTTCTCACCAGTTTATGCTCATCTTTCAACGTGTGCACATTTATTCTTATACATATACGTATATATATCTATAAATAATTGTCTCTCTTGTTTTTTTTGTTCCAATTCATCGAATAACATATATGAATTTCAAAATTCTTTCTCTCTCTCTCTCTCTTTTTCACTTTTCTTGAAAGTAATCATGTGAAGAATGTGTTCTTATCTATCAGAGAATGTCAAATGAATAATGAAAACTTTGCATTTTACAAAGAAAACCTTTGTCAAAGAATTAGTTTTCTTTTTCTAGATTGATTTTAGATGATTCTCTTCTGTGCAGCATCTGAAATGTTTATTCAAGTCCATTTTGATTCCTGATGAATAAGAAACCTTAACTGATTGTTTTCTTAGATATTCCTAATGATCAGAGCAGCAGTCGATTGATTGAAGCTATCGATCGATCGTTTATTATTCTAAGCCATATCTTGATAGCAGCAACTGGTGGGAAAGAAATTTGATAATAAGGCGTAAAGATTCTTTTCTTAGGAAATACATATCGTATGGTTTTTCTGATAAACACGAATTCAGGTTTTTTTTAATGTTTAGATGATTAGATTTTTGTTGAATATTCCTTCAAATATTCTTCAATTCGACATTTCGTAATCAATTCGCAATCGAATGGATGACAGTTCTCATGTTTTTCTAATCAAAGACAAAATCCGTTGTATTCAAAAAAAGATTATGGATCAATTAGCCGCTGATCTCAATAGCGCACTAAATGATGCTCATATCCTTCCGTCATCATCATCATTACCGAATATACCAATAACATCCTCATCGTCTTCCGTAACAATAACAAAAATCAAGCGTCGACGTAAACGACCGGTCAACAATGAGATGCAGCAGCAGAAACTTGATGTATCCGACAGCACAACGCCTGAAAATAGTCAAAGTCGAAGTCAGAATAATAAGCAATCGATTGTCAGTGATAGTGACGATATGCAAATGCAACCCAGTAGGAATCTTTGACGAAAATAAAAGTAACGATGGATTTTCTCGTGTTTGATTTAGAAACGCAATCATCGTCATTAGCAGCGGCATCCGAATCAGATTCGGCGTCACAAACGGATGATGTCCAACGACGTCGTCGTCCGTTTAAAAAACCAATCATTCCACCGACATCAACATCCATATGGAAAACTGAACAACCGATCAAATTAACGCGTTGTCCAAGCGCCAAGGTTACGAGTATTACAACAATAAGTACACCTTTACGTCGTCGACGTCGCAATTGTCGAAGTGATAGTCATTGCCGCATAAGTGATCTTCCTGCAAGTTCATCAGCCGTTTCCTCTTCATCGTCAATCTCATTATCTCATCAGAATACTAACTATGCTGGTAAACGCAAACGTTCTCGTACAATAGTTCATGACGATTATCGACTACGAAATAATAGTCTACAGGATTACGATATGACGTGTATTGATGATCAGAATCTGTAAGTTATGCCCAATGTATCGATATGTCATGCCTATTTGTGTTTGATATCTTTTAGAACAAACTTCAGCAGTAGTAGTAGTTTAAATTTAAGTGACAGTGATAAAGATCCGTGTTTAACAAGCAACGAGGCCGATGATGAACAATCAGATTGGCCACGAGATGAAAGTAGCGTACCGCGTATGATATCATGGTGGGAAGATAACAATGATAACAAATCCGATCAAGATGATGACGATACTGATGAGAAAATGTTAACGACGACCGACAGTACCTTACAAAAAATAGTGAACGGTGCACTCAGTATGATGCTAACAAATTCCAAAACAACAGTTCAAAATCGAATCAAAACATTTGTTAATAGAGAAATGTTAACAGGCAATCGAAGAAATCTTGGATCGAAAGTAAGATGAATGTGCAATGAATATTTCTTCGAACGAAGCCCTTGAATCGAATTCTAATCAACCGTCTAGATGTAGTTCAAGAATATATTATAGTGAGAGTCTCCTTCTATGAACGGATGACCTAAGACTGTCAGACGCTTCTATGGATTTAACATTTGTGATCTCGGTATGATCGATATTTTCATATTGAAAATAAAAATGACTTGTGCGTACGCAAATGAACTAACAAGGTGAAAAAATACATTATGCATTCGTACACGTCATGAAGTCGTTTTTTCATTCGCTCGTTGTCATCTTATACTTATAGTTCAAGGCTATGAATTGATCGAAAGGGACGCTATCTACGTTAACATTTATATTAATCTTTTTTTAGAATGCCTGTACTCATCCTCATCAAAAACGGCATATTCGCTTATTAAAAGAAACTCGTCGCTCACACCATAATAGTTACAACCATAAACGAGTCAAAAATGACCATTATACATATAAAACCAGTGCGTTACGACATTAATTTCATTTTTCTCAACATAATTTTGTTCGTTAATAGATGAGATCATTGCTCCAATCGATGAGACTAATATGGGTCATCAGTTATTAGAGAAAATCGACTGGACTCCTGGTAATAGTCTTGGTGTCAACCAAAATGGCACTACTGCTCCTGTACAAATCGATTATCAAAACTATCGGCAAGGTTTAGGTTGTGAAAACGCGTCAATGGACATCAGTGAACGTATGGAAAATGAGCAAACAACCACATCTCTCTCGAATCATCCATCTCATCAGTAGCTGTGATTTGACTTTGTCATTTTGTTTAGTTGTATAATAAAAGTTTTCTCAGTTATGTTTCGCTTGAGCTTTTTATGTATATTTTTCATGCCAACGCATTTAAAAGCCACAACAGATATCACCGAAAGACGAATGCGCACTTGCGCATGCATATTCACATTAAAGACAGGCAAAAAAAAATAGTCGAGCCATCGTCGTCATCATCCATAACAATAAGAAAAATAAAAAAAGCATGAAGTAGAGGGTAGAGAAAGAAAGAATGAATGAATGAATGAATAAAACGAACAAGTTAAAATAAGAAAGAAATGATAAGTCATCGATTGAATGAATATTTATATATGAGTACAAAAGACAAAAAATAGAGAAGAAGAAAGATTTTATCACCAGGGTGAAGTCGTATATCACCAAATTATTGAGACAAAACAGAGCAAAAGATGATTTGTTTTCGAAAGGGAAAGCTCGGGATGATTAAATGAAGGCAGACATTCATTTAAAACCGTTGTACATCAATAATAACAGAACCGTCTGGATTTCTTTCATCGTACTCATGAACATTTCGAATTTTGGTATTCTGAGGAGCTTGTCCTATTTTAATTCCATAGTTCTGTCTTCCAGAATTATTATACGAAACTGTAGAAACCGGTTGTACTTGATTGCGTGAATTTCGACGTCCATTACTGTCGGATGATTGATTTCGCGGTGCAGTCGACGAGTAAGCATTATTAGAAGAAGAAGAAGAAGCAGAGTGAGGCGGTGGCGGCAGCGATGACGACTGTTGCTGCTGCTGCTGCTGCTGTTGTTGTGGAGGAATAGGTATAGTAGAATGAGGAGCTGCTTGTGATTTTTTATTTCTAAGCGGAGCTGGTAACGCACTTCCATCAGATTCTTCCGAATATACGGATGCAGCAGAGAATGGACGTTCGGAGCCGTACTTGCCACTGCTAGCGCGACTGAAACGACGTACTGTCTGATAGATTGAACTTCGCATTGAACTCCATTTTGCTGTATTCCATATTTCCGAAACACCGATTTTCGTCCAATAGAAATGTATAAAAAAGGCGCATATACCCACCAAAACTAAACAAACGAGTCATTTTTATCATAGATGAAATACTTCACATACTTAAGACGACGACCAAAACGATGATAACAATAATATCTGTAGTTAAATAACTCTCGGTCATTGGAGACCGCTAAGGAAGAGCGGATAACACACCTATAAATGAAAGAAAAGAAGATAAATTATACATATTTAAGCAGAGAGAGAGAGTCACAGCAAATTATATTCTGTGATCACCTTCATGACATATGTTCAATACACCTCATTCAATTACTCGTGATATCTTCATTTTTTTTATAATGCATTATTTACACTTCACTAAATTCGGTAGGTTTTCTTTTTTGTTACTGTCGTACATTTAGCCTTGATTGATCATTAAAATTTCTCGTAAGGAAAATCTGTCTCGTCATTAGGTATCTATTCAAACGTCATTAAAAAGAAAGGCCTTATAATAATATAATCAAGGATAATCTACTAACTCACACTCATATGTTTTTGTGTTGATCTGACGTCACCAAAAATACAATGCCACATATAGAAGAACATAATTGTGTTCATTGATTGAGTTAACAATAGCTAAGTAGTCTCTTCAACTAATATAATACTCATCTTCTTTTTCTTTGTCATCAATATATATCGTCGTTGTATAGTTCAAGATCAACGCATATACACACACACACATATATATATTTAACAGTAGCCGACGCGACCAAAAATTGTGTCAATATATATCAAATAAGCTCAAACTGTGTATGCATATATATAGATGTGTGTATGTATGTGTTAAAAACTTGTCGATGTATGTATGGGGTGGCCTTTTCTCCTATGTGTATACAATAAGCAAAACGAAAGTGAAAGAGAAGAAGTAAGTATGATGTTTAGATGTGCGACGAAAAGAAACGAAGCGAAAAAGTATATTGACAGGTTGGCTTACGACAGACAAAAAAAAAGAAAACAGAGAATAGAATGAAAAGTTGTGATTTTTAACGCTTGGTTTTCTCTTCGAGATTAAACAACTCACTTGTTATCTCGTTATCTTTTGTCATCGTTACGTCTTTCATGATTGATCGTAAACTATGATTTCATCTGTCTCGAATCAACTGTGACAACGACACATTGTCATTTCAGAGATGAAGAAAAGACCTAGCCGATAGCATAATAACCTGTTAGTCTTTGTTTAAAAGAAAAATAATATACATTCACTTTAACATATTTAAGTAAGTTGCATGCGTGTGTTGGAGAATGTCAATTCTATTTCTTTTTCTTTTCTTTAAATTGCTTCTGTTTATTTTCAGATTTACTCGATGTCTGTGTACATTTCGAAATTTATTATGACGACAAATGAAGGCTGAAAGATTTGTTGAAATATTCATTTTGAATAACTCCGATTTCGATGATTCATCTCTGCAAAGTTTGACTTCTGATTATTGCATGACTCGATGATTCAAGCGTTTTATTGTGCCATTTGTTTTATTAGTTAATCTCGCTCTGTATTTTGTTTCTCTTTTATTTGACGCGTCGCTTTTTCCCGTTTGTGCCGATCACAAGCTGTATGTTATATTTAAAAAACGAGAAAGTGCGCCGTCTGGCATCCAACAAACGATTATTTTTTGCGAATAGCACGTAGCAACTCGAGGAATGATTATTTCACAACAATAATCGGATGCGAATAGAACAAGAAGAAAGAAAAGAATACACAGTTCCATAATAAAGTCAAGGTTTAACAAATCATAAAGACGAAAAATTGATTTCTCATCGACAGTTGATACACACATCCTAATACATTGCGACAAGGTCATGAAAACATCTTAACAATCGAACACGATGAACTACAAAGTTTTCCTCGTATGAAATCATCGAGTTGCTGTTTTCATGTCAAGAGTCTGATGAAATAACTATTAGACTTACCTTGTATAGTGTTTGACTACATACGTTTAGAAGCGAAACGTATGCTTGTTTTGTGTTGTCGTCAATGTAATCAAATGAATGTTTCTGCTTGCACGATGATGATGATGATGATTTGCCGTGCGTTTTAGCGTTAACTTTCTGTATGCTTTTCAGCCTAGTGTCGTTGTTAGGATGGATGTCGTTGTTGTCGTTTCGTTATTCATAAAAAAAGGTGGATGACAAGGGAAAAGATGAAGAAAGAGCGACAGAAAGAAACGAGAATGAGAGAAAGCTAGCAAATGATGATGTTGATGACGTCGTCAACCAAACCGTCGACTTATTTTTTACAAAAAATACCAACAGGAAGAAACAGTGCGGAGGTGTGTGGACGTAAAATTATTTGACAAAGTAAGAAGAAAAAAAAACTTCAAGTGAAGATTTAAGTCTCACTGCTGATCAATTTGTTGTTGACAAGCAAAACAAGAGAATCTACAATAAGTATCTTGCGATCTTTTCTTCTCTCTTTCTCTTTTCTTCTTCGAAATGGCACAGTCGATCATTCAAGGTCGTCGTTTTATTTTTATACGGTGTTTTATTCTGGTATAATTACACACGAGCAACCAGTCTTCCTAAGCAAATATAGTTCTATTTACTAACTAGATTGTCAGAGAATAAATTCTCATAAAATCAAGAAAAACACGACAACACTGCATTTTTCTATTAAGTAAATCATAATAAAAAACACAAAGTCATAAACATCAAAATACGTTTTGATGGATTGAGGTTATCGACGCATACCTCTTTTCGAATTGATTTGCATATCCACAAGTAGTTTTTTGATTCCATATTGAAGACTTACATCGCAGAGCGAAAACATTTCCGAAAATATGTTTTTTGTTTTCAGTAAGGGGTGTTCGAGATAATTGTTTTCTAGAGCATTGATTAAGATTTGTAAAGCATTAACGATGGGCGATGAAATCGATTCAATTTGTGAATAATTCGAACAAAGTATTAGGAATAATGTCTGTAAGGATGATGTGCAAAATAATGATGATAAGACACCTTCGATCTTGGCTGATATTGATGGATTGATTTGGTCTGATGATGTTTGTTCGTCTCTTGTTTTGGAAACATATCTCACCGCTCGTTGGATATAATTTAGAGATTGTTTTCGTAGCTCGATAAGACTTTTGAATATCGATGAGAATGATTCAGAAGTGTCGATCAGATAATGGCATAGGTTCGCTTCGATAACACTCGAATCGAATTGAAATTTAATAGAATTTGACGGACTTAGATATGTCGATTTGATATCAGCATGGGATTGGAAATATTCATTAGGAAAGAAGGTTGTCCAAGGGATATTCAATTCGATGAGGAGCAAAAATGTAATGATCAGCGGCAATTCCGTATCTTGTCGATGATGAAATGTTAATTGAATTGCGCGACGAGTGAACTCCAGATGCTTCAAGACATACGAATCGTTCATTTGACTGGGATCTTGTTGAAAAACTCGGTGTAAAACACGAACAAATTCATCACGTAGAGCGAGACCGTTTAACAATTTGTGATTTCTATTCTTGTGAATAAGGAGGTCGATGTCGTATCGTGACCATTCCGATGGTATTTGAAGAATCTCGACAAATGCATTCAGCCGATCGTACGAGATCAATCTACTTGTATTCGATGATCGAACGGAGTTCCAGATTAACCCATATGTTTGCTGACGTATGGATGACTCGTAAAATTCTTCGTCAATGGCGATTGGCACGCAGGTGAAATCAAGTTTTGGATCGTAATTAACAACCAATTGAAGAATTTGATTTGGGAAGGAGTTTGATGGTACTAGTCTGCGTTTTCGGTCAATAGATGCTTGACGTTCCATCGAGTTTACAACTAAACGAGCATTTGCACTCTCGTCTTTTGTTGTTTTCTTCTTTGAAGTAATATGATACTCCCATTAAGAATTTTAAAAGCAAACTCAATGAAAGTACTTATCAAGTGTTATCTAGATGTTCTCAATAGTGAATATCATTTAAAAATATCAAAATTTCTAAAAGTCCCAAAAGGGACATAATATTATCGGATGCTTTACGAAAAAGATAGTGATATAAATTGACGAATTTCATGCATAAAGAGTCTCAAAGTTTTCATTTTCGAACGACGCAATTGCTGCATCATGTTGTTCACCAGAGAAACATTGCAAACAACGTAAGTTAGATAGGAAAATAATCATTGATATTGCTACGTGATTCTTTTTGAGAAAATCCTATTTACAAATGATTCTGCCATCGTTAACAATGATCGGATTTCTTACTTTTTCCTTCCTGTTGGCCACAATGATTGTCTTGTCGGTCATCCCGTTATACTTGAGTAATCAATCAGTTGACAAAACAAGTTTTATTCTTACGAGTATGACATCGAAGGTTTTTCTAATGAAAAAACAATAACACCTCGATCCGTTGTTTTCTTTTTGTTTCAGCGGTGAGAATAAATAATTACACTTTGCATATGAATCAAGTTTTGCAAAAGCGAGATCTTGCACGATTGACACTCTTGACAAATTCATCGACCCTTGCTGATGCACAAATGATTATGAACGTGTCAATTCAATACGCAGTGAGTGCGACATTTCGTTGTCTTTCAGAATGCCTCACTATTCATCTAGCTTGAACAACAATTGCTAATAAACAATTATCAAGATAAGTCGAACATTTCTATATTGCAAATGTCTGCCGATACGGATGATTCAAGTAACATGAGGTATTGATGAGATCGAGGGAAACTTTCAGTTCGATATCCAGGAGTTTTGTCCTTAGTGTTACATTAGACTTTGTCATTATGTATGCACATGAATGTTTAACCTGTGATCAACGTCGACAACGGATTATTTTCAATCAATTGTGCTCATATAAACAACTGTCATCACCAATCTATTTTTTGATACAAAATTCAAACCTGTCTTATACTGTCTCGAACGCAATTATAGTTTACACTCCGTATATTTCCATCGACAAAATTGTTGTCGTTACTAGTATGACAGCATACTATTTGATTTCAAAACACGATCTTTTCCCTAATATTTCCGATAGAAATTATCTCAAATACACCTTCCGGCAGCCAAATTAACATAACGCAAAGCAATAATTCATCAAAATTGAGTAGTAGTCAGTAGAAATATGTTCATCTTTGACCATTCAATCGACCCTTCTCGGTTTTTTCTTAGTTTTCTCTGTCAAGAATTGTACGATGATTGTTTCTACCAGTAAAAGCAACTACATTGCAACGTTAGATGCGACAAGCACACAAACTTCAGCGAGTCAAAACGATGGACCTGTTCCACTCGTCGCAGCTTCTACTATGTATCCTGCACTGGCACAAATAGTAAGATGCCAAAGAAAAATCCTCTTCTATGATATACGACTTGTTGTCTATTATCATTCTGTTTGATCAGATTGAACGCCAAGCACAATTTCCTAATGGTTCGAATGCATTTAATATCACTATCAGTAATGTCATTTTGCAATTTTGGTAATGAAAGAAGAAAAGGAAACTATTAAGATGGAAAGTATTGATAATGAATTTGACTTACTTTTAGGTATTCTAATAGTACGATTCAAATGATTAGTGATTTTATGATCAATTTTGCGACAAGTTGCGATACTTCATGCATGAATCAGAGAAATATACAAATAGCAAGTCAATTAGGCAACTTGACGAATACTTCAATTTATATGCAGCCAGCGAATACGTCGAATGGACAAGTTCAAATTCTGAAAAACGGTGTTTACGCTTCATACGATTATTCTCTGACAATTCAAGTCATCACCAACTTTAGTGGGACAATCGTTCACACAAGTTCACCCACACTTACGACCATTTATTGAAAAACCGAAACCGCTAAATACAACTTTCTCTTTCACATTATCATTTCATATTCACTCATAATGTCCTCTTTATATGTCTGCACAATAAACAAATTCATCTGTTGCTTATCTGCTACACAACAGATGGTTCTATGTTTGTTTGTTTTTTATTCAATATTTCGATAGTAGTGACTATTGGCAAATCGACCCAGATAAGCATTCCACGTCTGTTTTGGTATCACATATGAGTCTTTACCGAAGATAATCGATTTCTTTGAGAACGAAGTTTTCCTTCTCAATGACTCAAGAAGTTTGTCATTGACGGTTCTACTTGAAATATCTGTTTGATAGCTGGCGATGATTTGCGGTTCAACAAGGTTTGCATTCAACGGGAAACGCGTCAATACCGAATGAGCACGAAAAGCATGCAGAGTATGCGATGTCAGTTTCGTAATAAATGTTGTGATATCCACAGTATCGAAAACGCCATCGCCATCAAGATCTCCTAGTGCACCACCTGCGCGTTCCATCGGTTCAAAGTCGCTGCATAGTTCATTTTGATTATTCATCGGCGGGTAGATACTGCCGATTAAATTGGTACCATGAATATTGGTCAGATATATATGCGCAACAGAATCAGTTAATGTGAAAGAATCGCAGGAAACCGCTGGATTCGACGTTGCCGCACCATCATCTCTAAAACAAAACAAGACAAGGAATGCGTTAAGAAAGTGATTTGAAACTAAGATAACTTTGATATCTCTCCGTCTTGCAGACCAATGCCATGAAACAATATCAACGAAGTATTTGAAGGTACACCCTCAGTTTTCTGACCGCGCTGACGATAGATAAAACTGTCTTGATATTTTCCATTATTTTTCATTTGTAATGTCAACGGAGCAGTAAATTCACCAAATCGATTTCTCTTCTTCCAGATCGTTTCACCTGTTAAGCCATCAATAATCACTACTTCACTACAATTGTATCGATCCCATTCACCTAAATACTTAGTTAGGTAATAAATCACTCGAAAGTTATTTTCCTTTACCCTGGTTTAAGATCAGCATAAAATCCACGAACGAATCACTGTTGAAGTCACCCGGTGCTGGCGTTGTATAGAATTCCCAACCTTCGAATACTCGGCTCCATAATACTGCCATTGTTTTCCCATTGATTAATTCTAGAGTTCCATCAAAATGGCTAACAAGAATGTCATCGATTTCATCATGATCGATATCAAGAATAACAGGTGGCACCATTATACCTTTTGTCTTGGACTGTACTACGGTTATATACTGTTCATGACCTTTGAGAAGATTATCCAATGATATGCTGTAAAGTCCACCGGGTACCGTTTCGCCACCGGTACCGAAAAGTATTGTTTCATTGTTATATAAAATCGGTGACATATATGTTTCCTTGCCATCTGGCATCCAGAATGGTTCACCGATTTGGTTTCCATTTCGACTGGAGAGAATCAATAAGCAGCCTGCTTCGCGTTCGTGTACTTCCGAGGGAATTGTTGGATTTCCACCATGAGAAATAAGTATATCATTCATGCCATCGCGATCAACATCAACAGGTAAAAGAATAGGATTATAGAAATTCCACAGCACTCGCCGTGATCTTATATTTCTACTATCCCAAATTACTTTCCCATGGTAAGGATCAAAAGCAATCACAGATGCTTGCCGTCCAGTACCAATACAATCTCGATGGCCGTCGTTATTCAAATCGATGAGATCGCAAACGAGTTCGAAGATCGACTCCTTCATGCGGAAAGACCACAGAACACTGAAATCATATCCTCGTATGCCATACATCGTTCCACTACATGGTTCTTCCACCTCCAATAACTGACAGAATGCCGAACGGTTTTGTTCTTTTTTAATTTCATTCGTAATTGCCGTGACTTCAGTTACTCCCACAATAACATCATCCAGTCCATCGCCATTAATGTCCATTAATCGAATACACGACTCACTTCCAGCTAAAGGGAACCATAATGCATTGACTTTCAAATCCGTTGTACTCTTTGTACTCGTGCGAACACTTACGACGATACAAATGATTACACTGGTGATTAGACTTATTGTTACACACCATGCAGCACATCGTGTTTTCTTCACCGGTGGAACACGTTCAAAAGTACCAATAAAGATTTCATTTTCATCGTCCATTTTCAATAATTTCGTCATACGAAAGGCAGTTTTATCCTTGCGATGACGTCTACACTAGAAACCATCTGCATCTCTTTCCCATACTCAATCTGCCCTCATCATATGCTAACAGTTTTAAAGATTCTTCTTCTCCTCGAATAAATTTTTATTTATACTAAAATAAAATACAGAAAACTTCGTGTATGAACTGAAGCTTGACAAAAATATTTGCACTAATATTTTGATTTTGTTCTACCAGCACGGCTACGACGATTTTTGAACCATACCTGCCGGAGAAAACAATTCAAGGATTAATATTTTCTTTTATTCACTACTACGTACTTGAATTCGAGCTTCAGGGACATCTAGTCTTTCGGAGAGTTGTTCACGGAGTTGAAAATCAGGATATTGATTTTTTTCAAAGACTTGATCGAGAATATCCACTTGATCCTTTGAGAAAATTGTTCGTTGACGACGACGACGACCTGCTGGTGGAGCTACGTACATGATCATCGAAAATAATATATATATCTCAGAAAAAAAAACATACCCGACTCAAATGTGGTATTTAATGAGGCTGTAGAGCAAGCAACTGCTGTATTCGTCGGAGTACTCGCGATGGGTGTTGGATAATTCGGCTGATTATGAATATTTGTTGTCGAGTTATTGTAGAAAACAATGGGTGATGCCGGTGTTTGATCAGTATATGATGAATAATAATATGTACATGTTGATGGATACGATGAGTATGGATCAGTATAAGGATCTGATAAAAACGATGGTGATGATTCATAAGAAGCGCATGATGATGGATGATAGTAGCAAGATGATGGTGATGAATAGTATGGATCCATACCTAGGTATAATAGAAAAGAACAGACTATCTGTAGAAAAGATTCGATGACTTAACCTGTAATCGTGAGATGATTGACAATGTTTTATCACAGTGAATGATGACGATTGTGTTGGCGAACAGTACTATACATAGGAACGAAAAAAAAGTCTGTTCATTTTCCTCACCAATCATAATTCAACAGACAATAATAATCGACAGAAGGACATCAAAAAGATAGAGAAAAAAACAGACTAATTAGTACACCTAAGCTCATCTGTTGATTGACAATCATCAAAGGAGAAAAAGGAACAACAGCAACGTGCCAGTTGGTCGTTTCCACTGATCACAGGTTGATGGAAATTATCTTACATGATATTCATCGGTAAACAAAATGAAATGGAGATTAGTTGAAGTTTGCAAGCAAACGAAAGAGATCAAATAGAACAGTAATATTTCTAGTTAGATACGGGAAAAATTGTAGGTGGAGAAATCGGGAGCTGGTGCTTATGTACTGTGCTACGGTCGATACCGACACAATCTTTGATATTGATTGGCACGTAAAGAGTAGAAATGGGTCGTTTTTTTCTCACCATTGATCAGTGTGACGATAAGCCAATGTTCATTTAACAACGATGGTTGAGATATCTAACAAGTTTTGTCTTTTGTACTGATTGAAAAGAGAAAATATTGCAGTAGGATGTAAAAGATAAACAAGTTGATTTAGAGAATCGTTGTTTCAAAGAGCGAACAGTAAGTGTTATGATTAGAGAAGAGGAATATGAATATCAATTGCGTTTTAAAATGGGAAAGTGTATGTCATATTATTTTGTAAAGCAATTAGTCAGAAAGTGAAAGCACCACACTCCTAACTATCTCCTGCTGGCGGAAACGATGGAAAAATAAGAGGATATGTCAGCGGAATGAATCCGCTGACGATCAACTTCTATTAAGTTGATATCAAAATATCAGGGAAAAACAAAGCATGCGAAAATATTCGTGGGCGACAGGAAGCTCTAATGAGAATAATGTATCATTTAATGTCGAGTTCTCGACAAACCGCGATGAATTCTATTTTATGAAGTTGAACTACTTTCCATACTCAAATCATAGAAAACTCTCGTGCGGATATCCATGACCTTAATCAGTGATCTTAGTTCCATTCAAAATATACTCACACGTTATGTTTTAACTATCTGTTATGCATTAGGAATACTCGGTTCAATCTTAAATCTACTTGTTTTCAGTCAGAGAAAACTTCGCAAGAATTCATGTTCAATTTATTTTATTGCAACATCAATTTTCAATTTATTAGCTATTCTATTTGGAATGACTTCCGTGATCATAGATTCGTATTTACCGGACAACTCGTCCAAGCATTCAATTACATTTTGCAAAACGAAGGCATATCTTATACATGTATTTTTAATGATATCCCGGTCGAGTGTAGCATTAGCATGTGTGGATCGATTTGCTCTATGTTCGCAGAATACTTTTCTTCGTAATCTATGCCAACGTCGAATAGCTTTGATCCTAATCCTTGTCATCTGTGTTCTATGGATAATCATTCCAATCCATGTGATCATTTATGTTAACATACAATCTGCTAGCCGATGTGGTGCGGCAGGTGTGTATCAAATCGTCTATAGTATCTATACAACTATTGCCACTTCAGCACCATTAATCGTCATGATTCTATTTTCGATTTGGGCTATTCAAAATCTTCACCAATCTCAAATTCGTACTCAACCAGCGGCGCGTACTCGAAATGCATATCCCAATTCAGTGCCAAGAATTAAGCGACGCGATATTCAACTAGTCAAAGTTTTGATTAGCGAAGTTGTTGCTTATGTTCTTTCGACAATTTGGTTTCCATTGACTACGATATATCTGACTATTACTGCAGATATATCTAAAACAGCCGACCGCTTGGCCGTGGAAGATTTCATTCGCTATTTAGCAGTTGGCTTTCTTATTTATCTTAATTCATGTTCAATGTTTTATGCACATATTTTAGCATCGAAACCATTTCGACAAGAGTCTCAGCAGTTATTTTTGCCTTTTTGTCAACAATCTCCGCATCAAAGAGGTTTTCGAGGTACATCAGTCATTTCAAAGAATAGAGAACGACTCAAGTACATTTATCATCGTTAAATGCTTCACTAACAATGACAAAGCCTGCTTTGGAGTATTTCTTCAAAAACTGTACGCAATGATATCATGTGATACTTCTCGACATCTATCAGCAGCGCTCATATATACTGACATTTTACTTCCTATCCGTTCGTTCTTTCAAACTACCATTCTGTGTCGTATTTAAACATGTTGCTTAGCTTTGCTTGAAAATTTTGCATGGTTATTTTTTTTTTTCATCGAAGAAAAGCGACGCATAGAATTTTGTCCTTTTGCCATTCTTGCCTCGAAAGTCGGAAAAGATTACTTGTGACAATTATTGTTTATATAAAACAAGATTTTATTAAACCAATTTTCAAGCAACAATCGCTTGTATCTCGAAACGAAAATGATGTCTGTATAGACGACTATGTCTACTGCCTATGCGATTAATCAAGTTAGTTCTATCGCTGGAAAATGACTAATGTACCATGTTTTAATGTTATTTACTCGAAATAAGATGATTTACTCTTCTTCAAGAATTTTTTTTTGATTTATTTTTTAAGATTTGCGCAATATACACTTTTATCGAATGATGGCGTCGAGCAATGCGGACAGTACATCAGCAAAATCACCAGAGGTACAATCTGATCGGTAAGCATTCATCGTTGATTTTGTCCGTGATCATTTTGGTTACAATAATCAAATGAAATATCACTTACGAACATGCTTTCGCTGTTCGATTAGTTCGCGTTTTGAAATATGTTCTGTTCAGGCATAGTCCTCCCAATTTTTTTCGATATTTTTTCACACTTTTCGCTCGTCATTTGTTACCTGGTGTACTTAATCGTCTGTAAGCGTCTATTCCGTAAAAAATCTAAAATGAAATTCTTATATATTTACAGATTCACACGAGATCATCCTAAATCGATCATTTCGAAGCCAGATTGTTCATCAGATGAATATCAAGACGCAGTGGATTATTGGAGGAAGTAAGTTATATCTCATCAATGATTATATGTGTTGATCCTACAATTATGTCGTATATAGCAACCAAGCCGAGTTGGGAAAGAGATATGGATCGTATCTAATGGCAAAAACGAAAACTAAGAAACGCATTCCTCGTTATTATTTTATCAATAACAAGCGTACAATACTGATCATACTTCAAGGTGATATTATTCAAACTAAAGTCGATGCCGTTGTGAATGGTTTGCATATTTTGTTGATGGAAAATAACATTATCTGAGTGCATTGTATTTCCAATAGCTGCAAACGAACATATGACGGGTGGTGCTGGAGTCGATGGAATGATTCATAGAGCTGCCGGATCGCAACTCTATTCAGCTTGTGTTGCTCATAAGCAAGTTGAATCTGGTGTTCGTCTACCAACTGGACATTCACGTATTTTGTTGAGCTATAATATGTCATCGACAACTTACTATATCATCAACACAGCTGGTCCCGTATATAATAGCAGAAAAGTTTCGCAATGTGCTGACCAGCTCTCTTCGTGTTACAAAACGGCACTTGATTTAGCCAATCTATATGACCTCGAATCCATTGGCTTTACTGCTATTAGTTGTGGGATATTCGGTTATGTGAGTATTAGTTACTCTTGAACAAATAAAGATGATGTTATATTTCACAGCCAGCAAATGACGGTGCCGATGTTGCCCTTCAAACAATCGATAAAAATGCCGGCTCATTACCGTTAGTTGTATTCGTCCTCTGGGACGATCATATATACGATGCATGGGTGAAGAAAGCTGAGGAATTGAAATTTGCGCCGTTCGATCCTGTACAACCTACATCAGAAGTTCTCCCTAAAGAGGAACCGGATACAAAAGTCGAAAAACAAACTACAGATGAATCGAAAGCAAATGATGATGATTCCACATTGAAGCACGATAAACACGGTGATTCTTCGACTCCTCACACGCCAGAAATTATGTCTAAAGATGAGGTCGCCTCATTAGTCGATCGTTTACCTTCTATTCCACATGACTCAATCGATAGTCAAGAAACACAAACTGTGGACGATGATAAAGATGCAATGGAAGTGAGTCACGACCAGCCGTTGGTGTCTCAAAACACGTAAGTGTCTCATATTTTTAACGAAGAAACTTTTTCTACTGGATTTAATTCCAGAATGGAAATGGCCAACTCTGATTCTCAGCAAGAAGAAGAATCCAAACAAGTACCTGATGAAACAAAAGTATCGAATACTAAGGACGGTGATGATGATGAAGAATCTAAAAAGCGCAGAGGATCGAGTGAAATTGTCAATGATAAAAAACTTCATTAAAGTTATCGTCCTTCGACGGTCAGAGATACACTTTAAAATTATGATTGAAAGTAATCAACAACCAAAAAAATTTTTTCATTGTAATTGAACCAGTGGTAATAGAGAAAACGGTTTCTTTTATATTCCTTTTCATTTATTTTCCAAGTGTTAATATAATCACGAGACAAACCCATCCAATCGACTTTCGTTTTTTTCTTCAGATTTTACATTCTTAATCTCAAGATGGCTAACAAGCAGACACTTCGAACACGGTGAGTGAATGATAGATCGTTATTGTCCATCTGTTGATTACTTCCTTCACCTACCGTATGTTATAGATGTGTACATACATACATATACACCCATCTCAATGAATATGTGTACATTAAACAATAGGGAAGAAGAAGAAAAACTAATTGTCGATTGTTAATATCCATATATGTACATAAGGTGTAAAGTGTACTTCATCTATTTTTGCTGCTTGTACTTAAATAATTCAAACATCATTGAATAGACTGAGATCTTTTCAGCTCGAATTAGATCGATCATGATCTTGCTTTTGATAGATGTGAAGAGGAAGGTGTGAGACACTTTCAGACATGTAATAAAATTGTGAATTGAAGAAACGAACGGACGTGACTAAAAGGACATTGGATATGTATGTATATTGAAACACAAAGGTCTCGTAAAGATGAGGTCATTTGTTCATCGTCCGGACAGTTGTTTGTCGGCTCCCCATCTCTTCATCATCATCAAGTTTTTATATACGAGTAATTCGCGTGCCACTTTGTTCTTTTTTTCCTTCTCGATCTCTCCCCTCCCTCTCTTTCTCTCTCTCTCTCTTGCTATCGTTTATTACGATGGCGATCATCTTCATCTCTCCCTCTCTCTCTCTCTCTTTCGTTCTCTTCTTCTCAGTGCAGAAAAGAAATAGAGACTGTATGTATATATACATGTCGCCGTCGTCATCGTAGTATAGTAGTAGAAGGCGGAAGACACGTCGTGCTATACGCTTTTAGTCATCATTCATTTTTCTTGTATGTAGACTTGTTCTTCTTANACACAAAAGCTTCTCCTTTCTTCAAACACTGTTCTTATCTTGCGTAAAAAATCCACCGGAAGAATAAGAAAATCAAACAACTTACGGCTTTTGGTGACATTGTTCAAGTTTTGTTTATATGATCTATTTGCAAGTCAAGTTTATTCGTTGTTGTTCTACAATATTTTATACATAGAGATACCGTCTCCGTCGTCGTCCACAATGTATATGTGTGTTTATCTGAAACGAATGCCTGAATAGAAAAGAGAGAAGGAAAAAAAGGGAGCTTGGAGGAGGGGAAGAAGAAGAAGAAGAAGAAAAAGAAATGCAATGCATGTCAACAGTGCTGCTGTTTAATTCAGCAGAAGAAAAAACAACGGTGATTCATTATCGTGGTCATCTTTTGCAAGATTATGTTTCTTCTCTAACTAATATCAAATTGTAGTATTAATAGGAGCTGAAAGACAAATTTAGTGAATAGAATATGTATTCCGTCATATGAGCTAAGACGACGACGAAAGAATGGGCGTAGAACATGAATAAATATGACATAACACGAAGCAACCATGACCAGATTTGTGTGTGAGGCCGGTCGATCGACTGATTGTTAGCAGCAAAGGATCATAAGATATAATTTTTCGAATAAAACGCACGTGTTAGTATCTCCGATGAGAAGTGTACAAATTCTTGAACGTCATGTGAAAGAAAATACAGATTGGCTTAGTTTTATTACGCGAACAAGAGAGGGAGAGGAGAGACGTTTTTCTTCTAGCACTCGTTTCGGGACATATATATACCTATGATTTGCCGCAAATACCTTACAATGTTTGATGAATAGTAAAAAGAAAAGAACGAGTCGATTGTTGAAATCAAATGAATAAAACAAGAAAAATGTGAAATATTTTTTGGTAAGAAACTCACTCAAGACGTGATCGTGTGTAAAAACGATGAGGGTTGAAGGCCATATTTCTGTCATTCTTTGGAATATACTAAAGGATTTAATGTAACCTTTGATTCATTAGATAAAAATGTTGATTATGTATTTGATCAATAAAAATCGCTCTCCTCAATTGATTGTTTAGTTGTTGTTCTTATTCTTCTACTAAAAACGCGTGCGTCATCTTGACCTACCCATGCATCCATATGAATGTAGTAAATGTTCAAATTTTATCGACGCGAAATGGATGAAATTAAATGTTATTTTAAATCGATAGTATCACTACAATCGTATCATTACCTTGTGTATTCTCATCGATTTTATGACCCATTATTCTTTTTCTTGTTTTGCATTCAGGTCAATCGTGTGGTTACTGCCAGTCGAACATGTATAATTAAAGTATAACACGCGAATACATAGACTATCAAATTATGTTCACAATATCCATCTATTCACTTCTGAGTAAATATTACATAAGAAATCTTGAACTTACTCAAGTCGAGGGAGACGTATGTGCATGTTCGAAAATATCTCGTTGTTGTTGTTGTTTTCTTAGAAAAATCGAAAAACGTATTAACAGTAAAATCAACAGAAGCGAAAGGAGAACTACAGAAGAAGAAGAAGAATTCGCCAATCTAAATAAATAGCAGTGATCTTCTCTTTTTTTTTGCATGTATCGAGGATTAAGTCTCATGCATGTTGTTTCGCATTTATCTTAAGATAGTGGTAGTCACTATTGCCGCCGTTTTAACAACAGAAATAGAGTGAACAAACAACTAGACTGAAAGGAAGAGAGAGAGAGAGAGAGACTGAGTTTGAGCGAAAAAAGAAGAGAGATAAGACGAAAGTCAATTATGTGTGAGAAAGGGAGAGAGAAGAAAAACGAAAAGAGAAGCAACAGACAGATACACAATAAATAATACAGACGAACAGCGGCGTCGGCGAGGGCTCGTAAGATTTCAACCATTAATTTACTACATCGAAAGAGAGAATTTTTGTGTACCTATATTGTACGGTGGAGGGAAAAGAAGAGAAAAAAAGAATGAGAAGAAGAGTGAACGGACAAACGATATTAGAAGTATACGCTGTTTCTTCTTCTTTTTCTCCATCTAATGAGGTCGAATACGAAGGAACGTGTTTGTGTGTGTACGTATTTGATGATAACGTGTCATATATTTTTTTCGTACAATTTTATCTTTCTATTCGAGTGTGGAAGATAAAAAGAAGAAAGTTGAAATAAATAAATGGTATCGATGAAACTAATTTATTCAGTGTCGTCTGCGACAGAATAACGAGACAAAAGAAAAATAATGAATGACCGATCTTGAGGACAGACAGAGAAAACAAAGAATGAATGAATTGCTCTGGCTCTTGTCGCAACTTGAGACAAATGCGTGTATATATGCCTTCAAGGTGTAAATGCAATAATAAAAAATCTATATATGTAGATACAAACAATATATGAAAACATATTCTTGGCAGACATGAGAGAAAATATGTAAAGGTGTGTGATTTACGAGAATAAAGAACGATGTTTCGGAAGAAGAAAATTCCGGAAGTGAACATTCGAACCTGATATCAATGTTTGACAAAAATAAACACAAATGACGTATGTAGGGATGCAGTATACTGACAAAAACATCATCGACAGAATAAATGACTGTTTCTTATACACCTGAGTGACTCATTTAAACTTTATATTAATCAAAGTAGCGTAGCCAATCAAAATTATGTTATCGGAGGCTGGAATAAGCCACTCATGTCGTTAGTTGTTTCTTTGCCGCTGACGATACTACGAGCAAAGTAAATCATTTCTCAAAATAATATGATGATTACAGAAAAGTATTCTGTAATAGCTGTATCATTCTCATACAAAGAAAGAGACAAGGAAATGAGGATTTCTCAGTCTTCTGCTCTTTCGTGAAATAGCAGAAGATGATAAGATCAACTGTTCGGTAAATTTTAATTGTTGAAAGATATAAATACATTGATATGTTTCATACATTTGAACAAAATTTCGAATTGAATCACAAGCATTCACGCGCGACCGAAGACACTGTTGATGTTCAATTTAACTCGTAATAATCACCGTAAAAGTGAAAACGATTATATCTTTACTATGACAAAGAGTTAAATGTTCCGTTCTTCCGTTCGATTTAGTAATGGCTGAATTGTTCATCATGTTCAACAATCTCCAAGTGATTTTTTTCGCTTTGATTGACGCAAATTTAGTCATCTTGATAATTACCTCATACTAGAGGTTTCCTTTGATTGATTCTTCTAGTCTACTTGTGTAGATCACTTCGAAAAATCGATTATTGAATCAAGTTCAATATTACGTGTCAATATATGACTCGGCTTCGGTCAATACACTTGATTATACTTATATGATGGTCTGCTTGATTTCAATGTGAATTTAAAAAGCAAAGACTTGATTCTAGATCGAAATAAATGAATTAGAAAGGCAGACGACTGGAATAATTGCAAAGCTTAGAATATGGATGTTGTAACTCCACCTCTCTAGACAAAAAAACTAGGAGAATTGATTCTTTTTTCGTAATAAACGGCAGAGTTTATCAAGAAAAGAGGACAACAATAGTATGTGCGATCATTAATCAACGAACAGGTTTTTATCGCCCTTAATATTTGTTTGATAGGTTACAAAGAGCAAAAAACAGTCGACAACGAACGAGTAAATTGTCCTTTTTTAATTGAATGAGTGACCTGAGAACGGTTGGTATTTTGGTGCTTTAAATAATTGTTGTATAACATATTTATCTACGCAATTGATGGTATTTCAGTTGGAAGTTGAAAAATACGATATAAGGCTTAAAATATCAAGATAAACTTTTATTCTTAACCAAGCAGTTTTAGGTAAAGGCATGATAAGCATAATATTTGCGTTGTCATTTATCATCTACATACAAATCTTTTCGTTATCCAAGTATTTATATATCGCAGGATTGCAAGTACATTACCCTCGTCCTACAAAACTCCACGTCAGAATTCATCGATAATAGATGCAAGCTTTGGTGTATTTGTTCCTTATTTTTATCATCTGCTTAGAACAAATTCATGCAAAAAACGTCACCTTTACACCGGAATCTATCAAAATTACGATCAATGACCTTCCAGCACCAAATGCTAGTGCATCAGTAGACAAGGATGCTATTGTTGTTCAAGTACCACAAGATCCTGAACTGTTCGTACCATCTGGATTTTCTGTTAAACCTTACTTTGTCGGTTTGACATCGCCGCGCATCTTAATATATACACCTTCTGGTGATATTCTTGTAGCTGAATCAGTAATTAGTCGTATTTCCTGTCTAGTTGATACCGATAACGATGGGTATCCCGATCAGCGAACGACATTTGCTGATCAATCGAATGGCCTTAATCGACCTTATGGAATGATTTTTCTCAATAATTTCTTTTATGTCGGTAATCGAGATGCATTGCGCCGTTACCCATGGACAAATGGTAGTCGAAAACTAGAAGGCACCGGTGATATACTCATGACATACAATGCAAACGGCCATTGGTCACGATCGCTTACGATCTCACCATCACATGATAAGATTTTTGTCGGTATTGGCTCGGCAACGAATGTCGATATTGACGATTCGCCTCGAGCATCGATTCAACAGGCGAATATTGACGGTACAAATCAGAAGACATTTGCCGATGGCCTTCGCAATCCGACCGGATTAGCATTTCATCCCGTAACCAACGATATGTATGTTGCTTGTCAAGAACGTGACCTTATTGGTGATGATCTTGTGCCAGATTACTTTACTCGCGTTCGAGAAAATCAATTTTTCGGCTGGCCATATGCATATCTGAGTTCAACTTTGCTTGATCCTCGACGACGTCTGGCAAATGGAACAAGTGAACGACCTGATCTAGTATCCAAAACACAAACGCCAGATGTTCTCTTTCAAGCACATTCAGCCGTTCTCGATATGCTCTTTTACACCGGTCAACAATTTCCTGAACGTTATCGAAACGGCGCATTTGCCGCACTACATGGATCATGGAATAGAAATGAAGGTACCGGTCATAAAGTCGTTTTTATACCATTTAACAAAGATACGAATAGTCCGATGGGATACTATGAAGATTTTATTCGTGGATTTCTAACAGATCCATCAGGACCAACGACATTCGGAAGACCTGTCGGGTTATTAGTATTAAAGGATGGAAGTCTACTATTTAGTGAAGATGGAAATAATAGACTTTATCAAGTGCAATATGATCAATCCACCAGCAGCGGAATCAGCTACTTTATATCGATATTACTCCTAATTACCTGTAGTACTCTTAGTATTTGACACTATTCTTCAGTTTCGAACAATGAACGTATCTATTCTATGTATGAATTTATCAAAAAACAAATAACATATCTTTAACAGCTTTATGATATGACGGTGACAAGTATTTTGCCAGATCGGAATGAGTGACCCATGCATAGTCTTTGTAAGGAGATGATTTGAGAGTAGCAAATTGCTTGACAACACCTGCCAGATATTCCGCTTTGTAAAAGAAAATCTATTAAAACAGTACGTGCCTAATAGGAGACGAATCGTGCTCAGGTGCTCTGTCTTACTTTTTTTGACGATTTATCGGTACCGTCTTTATAACACGCTAATGGCGCGTTGCCAGCTATTTGAACATGAAGGTTTCCACATGTTGCAACCAGTTGTTCAACAGCCTAGCATCAACAAAGAACGTATATCGTTACTTTTTTGGTCGTAGAAAGCGCATACTGCTCGTAGTGATGGTTCGCCATTGTAGTTTTTCTCGGGAAAAATCCATTCATCTTTATTTGTTTGAGTATTCGCCTGCTGAACAATTAGTAATAGATTATCATCCAGTTTACGATTGTGACTATGTAGATTATTTGTTTTATCATCCTCTACAAGTATGAATAGTGGAGCGAATACGAGTCAAACAAACAAAAAATGATGTGTCAAATACCTGTTTCTCTTGGCATGAAATGAAAATTAGAAAAATCTTTTGCTAAACGATCTTCTAAATCAGCAGCTGTCTCAACAATCGTCACGGATGCGGCCGTACTCGTCGCCGAAACTTGCCGTTGTTTACCATGTTCACTAAAAATGGACGAATACCAACGAATGCTGTAGAATATGCACTTACAATTCTCGTTTATGTCGTAATTCATGATCGGATAAATAACTATTTTCAGTCTCCAGTTCGGTGATTAAGTCAGTGTATTCTTTTTCTATTGGTGCCATTTCAGGTGATAAATGTGCATATCGTTGTATACATAGAGCAACTTTAATTTGCGGCAGTTTTTCGGACTTCGTCACCACTGCTGCTGCGGCTGTTTGGCTACTGGTTGAAGCATTAGCGATGACTAAACGTCGAACAATCGACGATGAAACTAGAAGAGGCATCAAGGTGACCATCTTCAGTGAATTTTTTAACTTACCTAGAGATGGTATACGTAGTAAAGCTGATGACATGTCGATTATTCTCAATTTCTCAATGAAAATAATGTCATATCTAAAGGTGAAAAATGAGCGGCTTCTTTCTAATAAAAGTGTTCACTTTTATCACAAAATAACGCACACAGGAAAAGTATAGAGTTAGCTGTTTGAATTAATACATCAAAACAAAAACCAAAAACACGATTGATAAATAAAAAGGATGAGATCATCAAAAAAAAGACAAAACAGATCATGAGCTCAAGTATCACTTCTATCATCCGATGCGTACCATTTGGCAAAGCGTGGTACGATCGCCTTCCATTGTTTATAGTTTGTTTTTGTAATATCACAATGAACAGACTCGAATACTTTATCCACGGTGATAATCTTTTGAAAATATTCGTAATCGTCCACAAGATTGTAACCATAAGCGGCAAGAAAGCCAGCGCCAATACCAGAAGCTAAATTGAACGCATGACATCGTTCAATCGACATGTGGGATAAATTGGCAATGATTTGACAGATGAAATCACATGTTGCCACACCACCGGCTGCGCGTAGACATTTCAACTGTTTACCTCCTTGGTGTTTCTTATAATCTTCACGAACAAATGAGAAGACTTCGTAGATAACAAAAGCAATGGATTCGAGGATAGCACGAAGTAAGTCATCGCGTTTCGTCTCACTATCGATACCAATGAAACCGGAACCGCAGTATGGATCGTTGTCGTGACCACCAAATGCTGGAAGGAAGAAGACTTTCGCTGGTCGAGCATCCATCGATATAGCATTCAGTTCAGAAAAGTCGTTGAAAAATTGCGCTTGTTTAGCCCAATTTAGCACCGTCGCACATCCGCTATGGAGTGCATGCATGAAATGAACATTTTCAGACGAATTAGAGAGATCCGAATGAGCAACTAATGGATAAATACCATCGGTACAAGCGCTAACTGGGCCAGTTAGAATATTGATGAAAGCACCGGTACCCAATGTGAGTAAACATTCGCCAGGTTGAGATACACATTGACCAAACATACTCGCTTGAACATCGCCAATAACAGCAGTGATAGGAATTGCACACCCTAGGAAGAAAGTGACTCTTTTTTTCTATTTGTTTGAACTTAAGACACCATTATGACTCATTCAATGTCGAACTTTTTGTTTTTTAATATTTGCTAAGCTACATTGAATAGTCGTACTAGCTATTTCTACCTTTGATCATCATCTGCCTCATCTTATCTTAAACAAATACGTGAAGCACGCTGATTCAGATGTTCGAACCATTTTCGTGACTGATAAGCAATGAGACGTTTGTTAAAATGTGTCGAACTCTTACCAAATAGACTTGGATCACATCTTCCGAATTCTCCGAATGTCGGTTTAATTGCTGGTAATAATCTCATGTCGATACCTAGATTTCTACAAAGTAGTGTAGACCATTGGGACAGAAATGGATCGTAGAGACCAGTTGAACTCGCACATGATACATCAGTGACGTGTTCTTGTCCACCGGTTAGTTTCCAGATTAACCAAGTTTCGATACAGCCAAATAGTAATTCATTATTTCGCGCACGTTGAACTAATTCCGGCTTTCTTTCGAATAGCCACAATAATTTGAACGCAATCATTTGCGTGCGAAACTCGAGGTTAGACAATGTTGACATGCGAGCAGTTTGAACAATAGGATAAATGACTTTCGCAAAGCCACGGATAGTTTTCCATGTCAATGATGTATTTGTTGATGTTGCATGTGAACTCGATCTCGAATCATTCCAGAGGATGATATTCGAATATGTTTCACCTGTTTTACGATCCCATAGGATAACTGAATTTCTCAATGTTGATATTCCTAGGCAAGTGATATCTGTAGCGGTTAATGGTTTGGCACATTGGATAGTTTCGTTGATCACTTCGAGTAATGTAGACCAGAACTTATCGGGATCAAATTCGTAACCATGTGGTTCGGGACAAAGAAGTGTTTGTGATTTTTGGCTTGATGATATAATTTCAAAGGATTTCGAAAAAAGGAAAGCACGTATTGAAGACGTACCAATGTCAATTGAAAGGATATATGGATCTTTGATAGGAGGTGAAGGGCATTGATCTGCATCATCTAAGTTACTTGTTAAACGAATTAAATTTCCTAGTTTCGATTTACTAGGCATTATTTCGTTGATTGAGTAGCTTTGTGGATTTCTGTGTATAATTCGAAGAGTTGACAGAGTTGATCTTCTTTGAGAAGATCAAATGTTGGTGTATCGAACGCTTTACCAAATGAAGCCTTGTTTTTAGACGAAACTTGACGTGTTAGTATTCGAGCGTACTCCTGCGAAGAAAAAGTGAAATAAATACGAGAGAAAAAAAAGAAGTGATGACGATCGTAAGCGTGAATGCTTATCATGAATCAGAGGAACGAAAAAGAAAGATGTGTCATTAAACGTGACGAATAGGAAGACGAAGACGGGCAGGCAAAACTTTCTACATTTTACGATACTTACACTCCATTCAACCATAAAGTTTGTAACGAATTCTGGTTGAGCATTCTTATGACGACGAAATTCATCACGAGCGTATTGGGTGCCTAATTGGCTTAATTCATGAGGAAGACTTTGATGTAAACGGAGAATAGTTTTATACAATCTCAAGACAGTCAGACGATGTTGTGTACCAAAGATTTTCTCATACATTGATTCTAAACATAACAATCCTTTTCTTTGATCTTTAGAATGCTTCTAAAACAAGAAATAATCGATTTGGAAGGTTTTATCTCTATTATAACTTGAATCAAATTAACAAAAGAAGAAAACAAGCGAGATTGAGAAAGAAAAAAGAAGAGTTTGAATTTTAATTGAAGAACACAAGTATTATTCAACTGTTCAACAAGAAATGTGTACATATAAAGAAGAAAAAAAAATATATATATTGAAATATGAAGAAAGAGACTTTTGACCGGGGTCAGTTGCAAATGGAATGTCATAGAAGAGTTTCATGACAGTGTTGAAGATCTGCATGTAATCGATTGATATATCGATCTAATTCTGTATTAGCTGGATCAAGACTTTTCGCAGCAAGCAAATCAGTTAATGCATCATCGTACAGTCTAGAACGATATATATACATGTGAAAAATTGAAATTCAATGAGGAATATTCACTACTTTTGATCGCGTTTGATTCTGGATCGAAGTAAAAGAGCATCCGAAGTATTATGAATACAGAGTGCTTGCGTACAATAATCAATTGCTGCTTCGTAGCACTAAAACAAGAAAGAATGTTCTCAGCAAAGACATTGACACTTCGTTCTTTTTCACATACGTCTAGCTTTCGTTTACATTTAGCTAAATTGATTAAGCAATTGTATTTCATTAAACGAAAGTTAGTCGCAAATTGATCTGTTGTCTGTTGATCGATATCAGCCGGTAGTTTCTTCAATGCATACGAAAAACGATAAGCAGCATCTTTGTATTGATTTTTCTAGTTTTCGAAAGACAAAACATGTACAATTGAACGACCAAATCAAGCAATACTTACTTTATAAAGTGAAACACCATCGTCGATCAATTTCGAGATTAAAATTGTCATCATATCATTTTTACCAGCTGCCAATGCCCATGTCGAGAGGCCTAAAATATCAGACACATATCAACATCGTGAGAAAATCATCTCAATCTTACTAAAACAAATTCTATCCAATTTACATCGAATTAATTCTCAGATCATTACATAACAGATACATGCAGGAAAAAACCGTACTCCTCTTTCGTTAGATACTTGCAAAACATTCTCTCGAATACCTCTACTCGTATATAGATGACGCGCGTCTACACACAATAGATGCGTTCGCTGTATCTTACCAAGTTTCACGCTCTTCTTCAACAAACAATTGACAACGGCAACATTTCGACAACCTATAGCACGATCTAATGCACGCATGCCATTTTTATCCACATGATCCACTACAGAACCATGATCAATAAGTAATTGAACGAGTTGAACATCGCCGTAGAACGATGCCATGTCCATTGGTATACGTCCATTGATATCTTCGTGGTTAATATTACTTCCATGGCTTAACAATGTTTCACAAGCATGATAGTGACCCTTCAGACAAGCCCATGATAAAGCTGTTAGACCCTCTTCATCCTGATGATGAACATTAGCACCTGGAATATGCGAAAGAATTGTATCGAATTCAAAAAGGCAACACATGTGTAAACAAACCTTTTTCTAATAAACTGTCGAGAACTGCTAGATGGCCTTCTGTAGCTGCAATGATTAAGCATGTTCGTCCTTGTTTATCACAATGTTCGATCGACGCTTGATGATCGAGTAAGTATTCCACACATGACCACATTCCATTTTTAACTGCTAGTAACAATGGTGTCATTTGCCGCGTATTTATTCGATCAATATCAGCTTGATGATTTGTTATTAAATAATCAATAATTTTGATATGACCGTGACCTGCTGCATTTGTTAAAGCTATTCAAACGACGAACATTAGTTTCTCGAAGATTCTCTCAATTCATTTCGTCTTTCTCTCTTACCTGTCTCCCCATGTACATAATCAATCCCGTTGATATCAATCGACGAATAAGTATTATCAGTTAACATATACTCCAGAGCGTCTAACGAACCGTTCGATGCAGCATAGACAAATGCTTGTTGCTGAATCGATTCATCTGTATAATTGAATAATTTCAAAATAGCAACATGTTTTGTTGCATAAGCCACACTCGTTAATTGATATTTATCTTTGAGAGTGATCTATACAAAACAACACATTCAGTTGACTTCGATTACATAAAAACGAGCTGTCCAACTTACATCAGCATTGTAATTTAACAATAATTTCACGACATTTTCATGCCCGTACTCAGCAGCTAACATGAGAGCGGTTTTGTTTTCATTATTCTTAGTTGTAATATTGACATTCGCATGATATTTCAAAAGTAATTCAACGAACGAAGCATAACCATTACGAGATGCAATACATAAAAGTGGCATATGAATGGAATCGACTAAGGAATTGGGATTAGCTGATATCATTAAAAGTAATTCACAGATATCTAATTCAGGATAGAAGGCATTTCGTAAGCAAGCCAATAGACGTGATGGATCATCGATTAAATGTTTAACTGTATGACAAATTTGCATAATATTATTAGAGAACAGGTCGCTTAATGAAAGATGACGAATGCATTCGATTGCTTCCGGGCCATGCAAAGGTGTAGTTAATGAACGGGATAAATAAAGCGCTAAACGTGAATGACCTTTCCTGAAAACACAAAAAAGACTTGATGTTCTTCTCAATATGAAGACTTACTTGACGTTGGAAGCGAAATACTGATGAGAATTGATTAATAACCAATTCCGAATACATCCATGACTGATAGCATAGGTTGAATTGGGAAATTGCGTTAAAAAGACTGATAAGAACGAGATATTCTAAAGCAAAAATCGAATGAATCGAATGTTTGATATGAAAGTCCAAGAATCTACTTGTACAAATATTGGCCATTCAACTCGAAAAGTTTCATCAATATTCAAACAATCATATAGAACATTTAAATTAATAGGTCTTCGCGATGCTAAACATAGTTCGAGTATCGCTCGACACACATCCAAATTTCTCTGAATATTTTCGTTTAAAAATCGATAATAGAAGATTTCATCTAACGTTCGCGGCAGGTCAATATTTGATGGGAATTCTCGTTGTTCGAATATATCACAAAGTTGTTGAATGAATAGAAGATTTCCATGGGATAACGTACATAATTGATCAATATTTGACATGGACGATGACAGATCGTATAGTTCATTACTGCAATCATTCTAAACAAACGAAATATGAACGAAAAAACTCTCCACGACTAAGAAAAACTTACTTCTAATCTTTTGGATAAATATTCTCGAATATCATTATACAAACAAGTCGAAAATCGCGGTTCATCTTCGATGTCTAATAGAACAAAATTTTGAAGAAAAGTGTTTTGTTCTCTTTGATGTTGATCGTCATCAAGACGATTCATTGTTATGATTAATTTGAGCCATGATGGAAGACGATGAAGGTTAGCAAATAAAAATTCGGTGATGGTTTGTCCTTCGGTGTCGCATAATTCGTTATTAATACCATCGATAATTAAATAGACGTGATTAGATATGGAAAATAAATCTTCTAAATGGCCAAGAAGTTTCAATTGATTTAATTGATCGAGGAAAGCTGCGAAAAGGAAAAGTTCAAAGAATATTTTTCTCAAACAAATGCATTATTACCAGTGAAAAACGCATGTTCAATGTTTTGTATACATGCATTTAATGTAATTGCTTTCCGCGTGTGTTGCTCACGAAGAATAACATCACGATAGGCGTGTAGAAGCGGATGTTCAAGTGCACGATAAATGATCGAATGAATGATGTCAGGTAATGAACAAGAATTTGTTTGTGAACAATCACAAAAATGCGATGATAAGATGTGCGATCGTAGCCATTCATAAGATGAACGTTTGGGAGAATTGACAAGAATAATAGAAGCTAGAAGAAAGAAAGAAAGAAAGAAAGATGAAGGTTTGGAATAGACAAGTATCGATTGCAATCTTCTTTTTCTCTGCTGATGAACCTGTCAGATTTCATTTCGTTTAGAGATTAGTTTTATTTTAAAGTATTTGCAATGTTTGATCAAGATTAAATCTCAATGAGACGAGTTAGACGTCGGCGAGTATGAAAATACATATGTCTGAAACTTTACTTTTTTCACTGCGAGTAATCACTGATGTCATTTGCTGAGATGCTGTTGACGCCGACATCGAAGTTGTTGATGTTGGTCGAAGAAGATTCTTCATGAGCAATGTTTTACCCATACCTGGGGTACGACTTAGGAGAACAAGACCGGGTTTCGTCGTTCCTTTCAATAATTTATACATTTCATCGTAGATCCAATCGCGTTGAATGAAAAATTTGTCGTCATCATTTATGGAAATTAATTCATCTTTGACAGTGGAACCACAATGACATGTGTGGTTCGAAGGTGAGACTGACGATGGAGTTGTTATGTAACGTGGTGGTGACCATGTTTGAGAATCTAACATGGTATTAGGAACTGACTTGCTCATTGGACCAAGCTCATAACCAGAAAACGTATCGATACCTTGGGAAAGATAGAAAAGGAAAAACAGTGGTATTGAAATCAATGGAAAAGAGCATACTACTTGGTGAGAGAACATTAATACCAGATGGTGAAAATGAAAGATCAGAATTGGACATCGTAGGTGAGATACTCGCTGTGTTTGTATGTAGTTGCTGCTGTTTATTTTTTCCGATCATTAGTCGTTGAATCGATGTATGTGTCGTTGCCGATGATGTCGAGGGTGAGGGAGAGATGGAAGAGATCCGTGTTTGATTACCTTGAAACAAAATACCAAGTAACTGTTCGTGAGCTAATTCAGGAGGTGGAGGAGGGGGAAGTGATTCGTCGTATTGTTCGGCGGATTGCTGTTGTTTAGGTCGTGAAGGTTCAGCATATTTGTTATGGTTATTCTTTAGAATTGTGACCATCGAACCATTGGTTTTTATTGCTGATCGTTGTTGACTGGATGTTAATGGTGTACCGCGTAGAAATGATGTATGCGAAGATTTGTTTCCATTGAAATGATGAAGGAGCTTTTGAAAATGCGAAACTGGTTTAACAGGTGTTGGAGGAGGTCGCTCGGTTGTGATTGATGTAGCAGTGCGAGGGATTGGCGGTGAAGCTTGGACGAGTAGATTGTTCGCGATGATCGTTGAGACAGGAGCAGGTTGAGAGGCAGAAGAAGTCGACGATGGAGGAGGTAAAGGAGACATTGATTGAACTGTTGCTTTGTTTTCTTGTGGAGAACGGTTTTTAACTAAAATAAATTCATATATAAAGTTACACTTTTCAACTATGAAATTCTCTTTTGAGTTATTTTCAATATCTCAATTATTGTCTTGTAGTTCTGCTTGATTAATTTCACTTTTTTTTTTAAAATAATTTTTGACGTATGTATGTATATATATATACATCTACTTACCTAAATGTGACAAGCATAGCGAACATTGTTCATATTTGAACATACATGTATAGCACTTTTCATGCTGACATGTCGTATCGATTAAGCGTTTGTGTTTTTGATTATCGTATGGACATCGACATATCGGACATAAATGATTTGATGAATGGGAAATGCATAGATCATCATCGTTGGTAGGAGGTTTCTTTTTTGCAGATGAAGAGAAAAAACGTGCCGAACGAAACAGGACAAGATCTAAAAACAACAACAAGAAGAAAAAGAACTAAAGATTATCAACTTTGATCGACGTGATTTTACTCTCAGGAACTTTCTTCTGTCATACGAATGTAAGGACCGTTGTCTTCATTGAACAACCTGACTAACTTACGAATGAATTTGTATAACAAATGAACTATGATGTAGTAATAATGAATATAAATAAACGGTCGAATGTTCTATGTTACATTGTCCTTTCTTTTTTCGTTAGTGACATATACATATAAATGCATATACATACTATCACTAGTAACCGAAGCCCGATGGCGGCATAGGTAACGACATGTTCATCATAACCGTCGACAATCAATTTATCCGATGACGAAACATAAATGACATTTTATATGTGTGATAATGTCATTTTTTCAACTCTCGAATCGTTCATTCTTTCGAGTACTTATGATTAGAAACGAATGAGACAATAAGTACGAAGACGAATATTCTTTGTCTTTCACATACAGTAAACATTAAAAGATACCTATTACACATACCTCGTTTAAACATAGGCGTAGATATTGAAAGTTTTATGCTTAATAATCGTTGTTCATTTTTTCGTTTAAAGTCGCTTTTATTATTGTTCTTCTCACTTTCGCATGGCAATCAACCGTGTGATAGTGATTGGACTTTCTTTCTCCTTCCCCCCCCCCCACCCTCTCTCCCTCTCTCTCTCTCTCTCTCTCTCACTCTCTTTTTCTCTGTTTCGATCATTCTCTGTTACTTCTTTTCTTTCCTCTCTTTTCAACACTCCATATTTGAAGCGTACACGTATACCGACATTTGAAATGTACAAGAGCGTATCATTACTTTGCACACTTTTGCTCATTCATTCTGTACGGATCTATGTGTAAAACAAAATCATAAAGAAAAAAAAGAAATGAGCAAAGACAGAGTGAGACTTCAGTTTCCGCCTAACGCATAATAAACTCTTCTTTTTTTCTTCTTCGTACAGAAAAAAACGCATTATTACGCAAGTGTTGACACGCAAATATGCGTACAGGGCGTGGTTTTGGCGTTGGCGATAATCAAATTTGTGCGAGCACACGCCGCTCATATGTCATTGAACACGCGACTGAAAGCGAACGCGATTTCAGACAAGCAGATTAGGGAACAAGTTTGGAAGGATGGATGAATGATTGTGCATGTATGTCAATCATTCTCACAGTTTGCGTCTCATTTTCATTTCCAACACGAGTTCAAGCAACATAAATCCATATCAACGCGAGGCTAGATGGTTCAAACTATTAACTTTTCTTTTTTATGCATCACCTCATATTGTTTATCAAATTACATCTTGTTATCTTTAACCCCCATACACATATCCATCGGAATAATATACACAAATGTGCATAGGCGTGAGATAATGTAAAAAAGAAAATTGTTATTTTTATATCGCATAGCTAAAGGTCAAAATCATATTTCGCGTTGTAATTTGTGTCTATAAGATTTTATGTCAAGGAGAATATTTCTCAAGTTAAAAGCACTCATTAGAAGTATTGCAAGAATAAACAGAAAGAAACGACATTTTTTTTCGGATATTATTAATCATCTCATTCTCAAGAGGTAGCACTTGAATTTCGGATGAGGTAATCGGAAAGTGTCCCAAATTCCAATCGGTCGTATATCCGGATATCAGAAAAATCATTTTGGGGAGGGGCGGAGAGAACACGGGCAATTCATATCTTAGTTTTCAGAAAACGTTCGTTTGTTTGAGAAAAATCGATTTTCACAACGTATGACACAACTAACGAGGAGGTCAGGAGAGAAAAGATGCTTTTATACAACATCAATAGAAAAAGAATGGATAAGAATTTTTTTTTAAAAAAAAAAGGACTTTTTTCTCGTTAAGATTGAAATATATAAAAACAAAGATTTTGTTAATAGAAAAAGAAGACGTGCAACGGACAAGTAATAGTTCGTTTACAAATATAAGATATGGACGAATGAATAGAAAAGAAATGATATTAGCACAAAGTAAACATTAATCAGGTAAATTTAACACGAAAAATGCGCTTCACTCATATTCATTGTTTTCCATTGAATCGTTCAGAATATAAATAAAAGAATTGAGACATATACAAAAAAAAACAAAAACAAATAGAGACTCATGTCATTAGAAATCAAACAAACAGGAGATAGATATACGCGTGATACTTCGATTCGCTTCTCGCGTTATTGTTGACGAAATCGATATTTATTTGAGTAGAGCATAACTTGAAAAAGTATGGCAACATCAATACTGATTTGCAAGATACCGCATAACCAGAATTGCTTCGGTGCATTGCGAATAATGAAATAGACTGTTTTGAATATATCACCGGATGCCCACAAAAGAACCTATAATGAGAATTTTACATGAGACAAGAGAGAAACATAGCCGATCAAATTCTTACCATTTTTACACTCATTCCTTCGGTTGACTTCAGACGAAAGTTTCGTACGAATTGAGGTATACCAAGAAGTGCTTCGCAAACGACAGCTAGAAAGCCAATCGTTTCGATATAGACGACATTTTTCAGAAGTAACCACGTCATGATACCTAAAAGAACGTTTACATTCATGATCGGCATTCCGATATGGAATAAGTAGAACAAAAAAGTTCGTAGATTGGTCCTCGTTTTAACTTACTGAAGATGAACGTAATTAGAAATAAGAACTGAAGATAACTCGCAAATCTAAATCAACGAAAACGTTCATTTTCTTAATCAAACATTTCTGTGCATCACATACGTTGTCCATCTCCAGAAATAATCGACTTCGAAATCGGTAAATTTCTTATCGAGAAACTCATCGGTTAATACTTCTTTTGAGCCAGCTCCACCTTCTTCCGTATCGAGTTGTCGACGCATTGTTAACGCGTGTATACGTGTCCACAGTTCCAACATAATAAGCATACATAGAATCATCACGATTGATTGTATAAGAAGAGGTATTTCAAAGTGTTTGCCAAACCAAAATTCGATACGGATAATGTTTGCAACAAGCAGAGTAAGACACACATAGTTCGAGAAACCCTCTGCATTTTGTTTACGTTTGATGATCAAATATTGTGGAATATAAGGCAGAACACCACCAAACTAAAAAGAAGGCGTTAGACATTTGTTCTTTTCTATGATCTTTGTTATAAGTACAGATAATATGAATATGACCTATTGAAAAGATTTGCCTTCATTATTCATAGGTATTATATAATCATCTCATATTCAAAGACGTATCGTACTTTCTGTATATGCAACCGTCTGGTTATCTAAGCTACTGGCTGTAAAACAATCATCTATTGACTTATTTTATTGTAGAAAACAAAATGTATATTTTTGAAAGGGATATGAGTATTTAGTCAATATAGCCTTGTCAATCTTTTACATGTTTCAAGGCTTCTTAGTTTGAATGCATATCTGCTTACAAAGAACATCCTCGTTCTCGAATAACCGAGCATAATAAAATCTGATATCAATAATCGCTTGTTTTTCCCTTCTTCCAGGTAGAAAACCTAACTGTCATGAATCTCTCCTAATTTGATCATCGACGAAATTAAATATATTTTATATCATCTGGCATGGCATGTCATACGCAATTACATATCAGGAAAATACTGTTCTTTTCTGACGTTCACTAGGCACTTTAACATTAAATACTTTCGAAGAAAAAACAGGTCAACTGTTTTGACAAGCTGTTAGTGGAAAAACTCTTATCTTCATAATCTTTTGCATGATGTTTATCGCAACTTACGATAATCAAAGCTTGAGATAAAAGCCGAACAGTGATTGATAAAATAGTTCGAAAATCGAAACGATTCGTTCGCTGAGATGATATTGTAGTGCCATTTTCATTCGAAGTTTGATTTACTGTCGTTGAATTCTCATTCGATTTGCCGGGAAGAAGATCAACAACTTGCTTGTAATAATTCTGTGCTGTGGCAAGAAGTCCATCGTTTTCTTCCGTGCCATTAGTAGCAGCATTCGTTACATGAAGCAGTAGAGAAGCAATAACAATGCCGAGATAAAGTGCGACCTGATACCGATCATAGTTGTGATTGACGAAACTAAACAATGACGAGGAGAGTTTAGTCTGCATTCAAAATCAATTTCAATTAAGTGTTAGAATGTCAAAAAGCAAGTAGAAATAGACATGAAAAAAAAACTACAAGTCGAACATTCACTATTTGACAAAGTTACATGTACATTCGTTAGGTTAACAGTTATACTTACAAACGGCCCATGAGGCTTTTTTTGCTTAGATATGCAATAGGCTTCCTAAGGATATGAGTAGAAGAGATTCATTAAAAACATAGAATTTAATTGAATGGACGAAAACAAATAGTTAATTGCAAAAAATTGTGATATATTATTTATCGAATAAAAAGAATTATTACCTTGTTTATTTGATTGAGTTGAGCATAAAAAAATAGAGATCTAGAAAGAAAAAACAAGCGCGAATAAAAGTTGTTTTGCAGCAACTATTGAAAAGAAATAAAAATATTTTGGTGGGTGTGATGAATGACAATCGTCATGATCATGACAGAACGATTTGATGTGATCAGTCATTTGTTTATTTTAACCAGCGACCAATGATTGCGCGAAAAACATCATCGAATTTTTTTCGAGCAAAAATCCGATTCCACTTATGATTTCCTACTTTAACCATAATTCAGATTGATATGAGAAGAAAAAGTCTTTTCATAGATGCCGCTATATATCTTTCGAAAACAATTCGATTGGTGAGACCAGTATACGAACAGATAAATAATAAAATAAACTCATATTCTGGTCGTTTTTTATAATACACTTGCTTTTTTCGACTAAGTAATTCTCTCGTCATCTCAAAATGCAAATGATCGTCGATAAGTGTAAGAAGAAATCAATCTAAAAACTAATATATCTATTATTCGTTATATTTCTAGAAGAAAGAGAAACTTCTGACATCAACATGAATGTGACGAGATTGCTAAATGTAATGCCCAGGGACGATAATAGATAAGTTGCTTCTCATTTCCAGAGATTGCCAATTCTTCGTATTTAGTTCTTCGCCATGGCAAAGCAAAGACGAAGATGGAATCAACCAACACTGTGCTATGCGCTCTTTTAGAGAAAATCGCAGTCGAATGGCGACAGGTCATGCTTGATTATGTCTACACTTGACGAGTCTCTAGTTATTCGAATCAAAGACGTGTTTAGGCTTAAGGTTAAGTCAAGCATGAGTTAGTTTTGACCTAGCATCATGATGAACATTTTGTTAGTCAAAAGTATAATTTACGCTTACTTTCGGATAATGGGGACGTCGAATGATACGTAGAAGACGAAAACGTTTTTGATCATCATAAATCACTTCGATTATCATCGAGTTTGATGAAAGATGATAAGAGACAATAAAATTGAAATTTTTTGCGTAGTAATCTTATGTCTATTCGTGTTTTTTTTTCTTGTCAAAGTATGGTAGTTAAATGATCATCAAGGTATCATCTAGCGTTTAAGATGAAGACTAGCAGTCAATTAAAATGAACTGATGCCCAATATTTCTTCCTTAGAACTCTGAAGGTCATTCAGATATTGACTGAGTCTGTTCAGTACAGCTTATAAATAATTGCAGCCATTGTATAGTTCGTCGAATGTTGATTTGATAAATGAATCTTAGTTTTTCTTTCGATTTTTATGTCGTTTTTACTCAAAACTAAGTTCATTTAGTTTCCATTCACTCTGTCGAGTAAAGGCATTGAGAGCAGTTTTAAAAATCTACTTTCAAATCATTCATACCTTGCCTCTATAGTATATGCCTTCGGACATACTCCTCAAAAAGCAAACATTCGTATTCTTCGTTATTCTTTCACTTTCTTTTTGCCTATTTGCTGTAGTCGCGCAAGAAAGTCATGTTTTTCATATTGAAAACAGTGAAAATAAACAGTAATTGACGAGAAAACATGCATGATGCAACATTCTCAAAATAAGACAAAGAACTTCTCAAGTTAGCGAAGTAAAAATGAGGAGAAATAGTTTGTTTACATGGAATCGATCAATAGATGTTGTTTTGTCTGGCAAGATGCTACCTACTATTTTCAGATATCTTTGAATATTTGCTTTGCTAATTTGTCATCATGGGTGATTCAACAGTCAGTACAAACGAAAGCATGATATGGTGCGCGAAAACGGGCGAACTTCAATCGTTGAAGACTCTTCTCAAAGAAGTAAGGATTGATTAAGTTCGCAGTATCTCTCTTACCTCTTCATTTTACTCTAGCATCCGGGAAAGGTGAATGAGCAAATGAATGGCCGATCGTTATTACACTATGCAGCCGATGCAGGAAATTTCGATGTATTGAAAGAACTTGTTAATAACGGTGCTAACGTTAACGTAAGTTAATCAGGCAAATCACCGATCCGTTTCGAATCTTTTGTCTTCTCAATTAACAGAGTAAAGATAAATTTGGTTTGACGCCACTTCTTGCTGCAATCTATGAAGATCATACGGACTGTGTGAAATATCTTCTTGAACAGGTTTGTGCTCGTGGTTTACTATTTAATCCTGAGTTTACTCTATTTAATAACACAAAGACGCATCTGCCCTCGGATTACGCTCATTAACATAAGTTAATTCCCTTGTTGCGAGCATTCCTAGGCGGCCCAGACAAAATTTTCCGATATACGCTTGACAATTCTTTTTCTTCTTCTTCTCCTATTTTTCGTTCATGTTGTTTTCTATCTGTTCGTTTCATCCACATCTACCATATTTGACGTCCACTTTTATCGATCGATTGCATTGGTAATACTTCAAACGGCCCCGTAGTACATAATCAAAACTACGATCGTTAACGAGAGAGAGAGAGAAAGAAAGAGAGAAAGGGACAGAATAGAAAAAGAATGTGCTTTCTATAAATAGATTTTACTGAAAGGTGTGATGCGTTCTAGTGTTTCTTTTGTTGATTACGCAAGGAAACAGATACGGTGATATCGTAAGGAAAAATGTTTTTAATCAACATGGGTATCCGTTGAATTAACGAATTGTTTCGTACCAAGGAATAATCAAGGTCATGCAGTTGAAACAGATGAACCAGCCGTACGTCGGATTGGATCATAGGAATGTCCGTATCGGACGAAAAAAAATGACTCGATGTTCTCTTTCACTTTCCATTTTTTTTCTTCTGTTTTGTAAGCAAATGAGAATGGGCAGAACGATAAAATGTGAGCCTAGCGTTTAGAATCGGATGATCACGTTAATGTGGGCACGAGCAATATGCGCACCGAATGACTCATTCTGTCGACGGCGCAAAAGAACGCGAGAAAGAGTAAAAAGTAGAAGAAAGCGAACAAGGGTTTAACCCGTCGACTATATAAAGAAGCGATGCAGCAACATTCGCTTAAAAAGACGCTGCGCGCTTCATACACGAGAAGAGAAAAAGGCCAACCAGTACAATTACAAATACGCGTTATTCAACACAAAAATGGTACGTGAAGTTGAATTATCCTCATCGGCGAGCTGTTCAGTCGATCACATATCAGCTAAACACGCTGCTAACGATGGTATTCAAGCAGAAGATTTACCAACTAAAGATGATTTAACGACAAAACCTCGTTCAAGTACGACTGATGATGAATCTGGTTTTTCAGAATCAGTTACGACATCATCGAGATCGTCACCTGAATTAGTATTGACTGAAGATGATTACGAATTGGCGCTGACATTATCCGACGAAAGCAAAAAAGAATTCTGCTCCGATATGTGTTTAGTATTTCATGCTGAATTTCAACTTACATTCGGCAGATATTTCACATCAGACCAATGGGTATTGGTACCATTAACAGTTGATGGTACCTGTAAATTACCTTCGGATGCATTATGTGATGTAGAAATCGCCAAAGTACGGTTTGAATGCAATGCCTGTGGGCATTGTTGGACGTCAATGCGTGGACAAATATCGTTCTTCTACGATTGTAAATCACACGTTCTTTATTTCAAATTATTTACCCAAAATTGTGATCAATGTGGCGATGTATGCGCACCACTATGGTATCCCGAAGAGGTCTGCCGTGTCATTCGAAATGTGTTCGTCATTGTCAATAATCATGAATATCCAAATTTAGCAACACCAATAAGATCAAATCACTATCGTCGTATTGGAAATCCAAAAGGACAACATCATGGCTGTGAATCATGTCGCGATGGTGTTTGTGTGGCTCTAGCTGCGCAGCAACTCGGTTGCAAACTTGTTAAATAAAACACTATCCGCTTTCTTTTATACCAGGAGAAAGTCTACGTGTTGATCGGATGCGATTTTCTCGGTGTGTCTAGTCACCTTTATTTCGTCTTCTTTTCTTTTCCCATCTCGGTATTATGATCCTTATTACTCGTATGTATATATGCACAAGAGCACATTTTCTCTGTGTTTGTGTGTGTTTTTTTTGAACTAGTTTGATTGTGTAATTTAAAAAAAAAACGAAAAATAACGAAGTTAATTTTCCTTTCAGTGCTCTATTTAGACTATCGATTACTCTCTCTTTGTGTTCGTTGCTATCGTTCATTGCGTATTTTTTGGTTTGTTCTGGATTATATACTTATATACAGATAAAAAACGATATAAATTACGATTATTTCAAACATACAATCTTTTTTATCACAGAAATACGTGTCTGATGTAATGACTTGATAAGAATTACTGTTTTGTTGATAGTTAGAAAAAAATATTTCAAACAACTTTATTTTTTTCGCCTGTTTTAGCGTGCTGATGTCAATGGCACTAGTCCGGATGGTCTTCCCTATGATCAATGTTGTACAAATAATGAAATTCGTGAATTAATTACCAAACAAAAGAAATCGAACAAATAGAACTTCGTCATCCATATTGATTCCTGCAATATATTTCTCTATACATGTGTCCATTCATATATATTCGACTACAAACCGTCTTCCTGGAAAAAAACTCAACAAAAATTAATCTTTACTTTATTCGATTGTTATGTTGTTCTTACTTTTCTTTTGTGACTTTCATAATCGTGATTTCCTTTTCATTTTCTTTCGAAACAAACTAGATAAAACTCTATTTATTATGTTCGATGCCAGACAAAATTGATCATGTTTTAAAACAAAATATATGTTATCAAAACGACTACATTTCACAAGAACGTCATCGCACGTACTATATGATACTTTTGTTAATAACAAATATTTCTACTCAGTATACAGAACGGAAAATACAGGCAAATGATCTTTATATTTTCTTCTACCCATGTGAATACAAAGTCTATTGTTTGATTCAAACTGATACATAGTATCAGTGTCCTTTAGAATTTGATCTTTTCAATGACAATCTACTCAGACTATCTCCGTACGATGCGGACGAATGTATTGCTAACAAACGACATCTATCGTTGATCGATCTCATAGTTACTATAACCCGTGAAGAAACCGAGGAGAAATTTTGGAGAATGGCGTACATTGGTTGCGTGATGCATATTTGAATGAAAATGGAGGTATGTGAAAAGAAAGAAAAAATGCCACTAGCCACTTTGGTCAAGTAAGTGAAATTCGGCTCGGCTGTTCAACTGCTTGAGAAGACTCGTGAAGGGTCAAAGAAATCATCATCCGGTTACGAATAATAAACAAACGAAAGCGAAAGGAAAAGTCATATTTCATGTGAACACGAGTCAAGATGTAATTTTAGAGAGACGGCAATGGTTGACGATAACCGATGCGACAAAAGTATTTTTGTTCGTCTTTGTTCTAGAGCTTCTTCTTTTTTTTTTGTATGCTCGAACGAAAAAAAAATATTCCAATTGCATACGACTGTAATTGCATCTATTCAGCGACTTTTTCTTTCTCTCCTTTCTTTTTTTTTTGCTAAAGAAATATTCAAAGTTGAGTCTAAACTTACGAATAACAATGAACAATTTCTCCGGGTATATTTCGAAATGTCTTTTTTTTCTCTCCTTTTTCTTATTTACTTTCTCTCCTATTACATTCATACCATTATTTATACTGTAGATAGTCTGAAATGGTTACGAAAATTGAAGGTCGTGCCTCACATCGTGATTTAATTGATGACATCGTTGAAGCACCATCGGCCGCATCGTTTCATTCCAATTCTGTTTCGTCTTTTACAATGGAAGGAGTAAAAACTTTGCCAGCAAGAAACTATTCGAGTTATTCAAACATTCCAACATTGTTCAATAATTCTAACAAATCGAAAAGTGAACAGAATGAGCATTCATCACGAACAACTGTCTTAACCGATGAACTCCGTGACCGTTTAAATTTAACTTTACCACGTTCGAGCTCATCGACAACAGTGAGAAATACTGATGAACGACGAAAAGAACTCGATATTGTTCTAAAGCACTTATACGATGGGAAGTTATTGACATCGCTGAACGATGATCGAGCATCGTCCGAGACTTCCGAACATTCCATTCCAATCCTAGCTAAAGGACCACTAACAGCAACAACAAGCATCGGTTTCAAAGCTGACGATGAACCAAAGCTCAACGTGGAAAATCTCGATGTAAGTTTACCGTAGATTGTATATTCGTTTTCTTTTTGGCACAGTCGGGAAGAAGAAGAAGAAGGCAGAGTATTAACAAATATTACTGTAATGCTTCTAAGTAAAGGAGGACTTGTAGAATAACTTTATTCTTTTCGGAAGTACAAATATAAGTCATCTATTGATTATCGAGAAATAAGCTGTCAGGATACAAATATGTTTTGCTGCTGAGAAGTTTTATACAAAAAAGACGTGAGACCTTCGGTAGGGAATATTTCTTTGAGAATGCAAAAAAAAAAAAGAAATTCCAAATAGAAAAGCCATATAACGATCTCTTCTCGCTTAGCTTCTTTCCTATGATGGTGATGCGACATCACTTCAACGTGAATTACAAGAAAAAGAACTTGATATAATACATTTACATAAAGAAATCCAAGAATTACAATTAGAAAATAAATTACTCAAAGCTAAAATACCAATTCAATATCAAAACGGTCATACAAGTGTAAGTCATTATCTCAGCAATGCCTAATGAATTTTCATTAAACTGAAATTTTCCCTCGATAGAATAACACGGAAACTGAAGCACTTCGTCGTGAGAGGGATATTCTACAGAACGAACTGCGTGTTCAACAAGAATTAGTTGCTAAACTTCAAAATCAACAGCACAACAATGGAATGGTTACACGTACGAGCAAACTTGATGAAGTTACTCTACATCAAAAAGAAGCGTTGGAAAAGAAACTAAGTTTGTTATGAGTTGTTCGATACGTTGTGAGAAGAAAATTCAATTTGAATTTCTAGGAGCATATGAAAAACAAATGCGGACGTTGACTAATGAAAATGATAAGTTAAAACAACAGATTCATCAAACCGATCGAACAATTGCTCAATTAAAACGTGAAAATGAAGAATTGCAGCAAAAAGTAAATACAGGAACTCTGACGATTGTCTTTGCATTTGAAATATGTCTAGAAAATGTTTAAGAAACTTTCAGTGCTTCTCTCTTTGATTGATCCGGCATTTGCGTCGGACAGATTTTTTTCTCGAAAGAAAAGATCACCTCAGGTTGACTTGCTTCAATTAGCGCATGCATAGTTTCCGATTTCGATAGGAAATTAAATCTAAAGTTACAATTTACTTTTCTAGGCCGCTGAAACAAAGAAACGTAATGATGAGTTGCTTTATCAGGAATTCAACGCGCTTCGAAATGATCTTAAGTATATATACATTTCGTCATGATTTCATTCAAAAGAATAATGAAATTTCTTCTTTTGACAGATCGTTTAAACAGCGAAATGATGATTTATTTGAAGAAAATCGTCGACTGTTACAAGAACAACAGCGACAACAACAGAATCTTGCTTGGCGAACCACAGTTCAACAAGCATTTGCTGATCCACACGCACCACAGCAGCAGCAGCAGCAGCAACAACAGCAACAGCAACAATCAAGTTTACAAAATGACGTTATAGTGTCTTCGTCTCCATCGAAAGCGCCGCACTCTGAATCACGACGTGATCGTTCGAAAGGTGAGATCTTCGAAGATGTCTGGATGTGATCTTTTCGTTTGGCTGTTTAGTTCGAAGTGATAGTCCAAACTTGTCGGAAGGTAGTGACTCGACAAATTATTTGACATCCGTCAGTGTTGAACGATATCACAATCGGCCAACATCTGCAATACATCGTTCAACAAAAATTGAGGGAATCAGTCGTCATCAATCTTCGAAATATCATTCAACAAATCATCCAGATGATTTCAATCGAAATAATTACCCGAATTCATTCGCCAAATCTGTGGATCAACAAGGAAATTATCGTTCGTCGAAATCTAAGCGATCCGTTGAATGGGACGAAGAAAATATTCAACGGAATGAAGGTAAGTTCACGACCAAAACGTGTTTGAATTCACCCTGCGTGATACTAACATGTATTAAACATAAGTGAACCTTCTTTTTTTTGTCCCCGTAGAATCTCTTAAATATGCACTAGTGCCATATACCGGTAACAAACGCTTTTTATTCACCACTAGCTCATAAAAACACGAACATCTGTAGTAATCATCGATGTAGTTCAGTATTTCACTAGTGTCTTCATATTCTATAAAATATCCGTTCTAATATGATTTGTTCCTCTTTATTTTAGGGCCGTACAATCGAGGTATTTGTTTCATTTGAAAATTCTCTTTAGCCAACTTTTGTTTTAGATCTTGGATCCTATGACCATCATCATCGCTTACCAAAACAACGCTCTCCGGAGAGATCGAATGATTACGCATCTCCCCCAGTCGCAGTATCATCGCCTGCTTTACATCAACAAAACTACAACCTTTCTCGAAGTACCACATTACCTGATTCTGATCATCAATCACGTCGTTCAAATAGTTATAATGTATCGAACAGACACATGAACAACGACGATGATGCACAGCATGACGGTCAGTAAAAATCAGTTCGATTCGATTGTTTCGGAATCTATATCTTTGATTTATATAGATCGTCACCAGAATCGACATCGTCGACCGAGTGTCGAAACAGCTAGGTAAGCTCATTGGCAAGCATAATAAAAAAAACATTCAAATCGCTTTTTTTAAATTCTAGTCCAAAACGTCCTTATGCTCCATCATCTATTACTGATATTCACCTAAATGATCTGGTGAAATTTTCCCGACCAGGTGGTAAAATTAGTAAAGGCATTGTGAAATACATTGGACCTATTCCGGACAAAAGTGATCAATATCTCGGCCTTGAGTTAGAAGACGAAGGTTCGTAGAAGGCCCTTTTTTCCATCAATAATATTTATTTATCCGCGTTCTAGAAAGTAAACACGACGGTGTTTATCAAGGACAACGTTTATTTCAATGGTAAACCTTGCCTTGCTTCGGAAGTTCACCATCATTTTTCTTTCTTATTTATTCTGTTTAGTAAACCAAACAAAGGAGTGTTCGTTGGTTTCAGCAAAGTAATCATGGCCTGGAGTGGCAAATAAACTCGAGTTCAATCAGACAATCACATACGAAAAGAAAATCTCATTTTTTTGATATACATAGAGAGTTAAACGATCTATTTGTTGTTCTTCTCCAATATTAGCTCATGAAAATAGTCTTCTAGAACCTAAAAGCTCGAATGTACCGCTCATAATATAACTGAATGGCTAGACGTATTTTGAATACAAGAATATTTTCACTTCTTTTCTCTTTCTCCATGCATTTCATTGACAGAGTAGATTAAACCGTAATGTGAATTCTCTATCGTCGTTTTTTGCTCTCTCCTTCTTTATTCTAATCTCGTTTTTTTTTTCACTCTCTTGGATTTGTATTTTACGTAGAATGGATTACTCAAAATATACAGTGACAAACTTTATTTCTCAATGAAATACTTCACCATTCGATTACCAATTACATGATTGATAATCTTTTAGAAAACATCCGTAAGGAATATCAAGATCAACTTTTCCGTCAGCTAGTTGTCGATAAGTATCAATAATTGGATCAAGAATACGAGCGGCAGCATCTTCTTCATCGAGCGGAGTCTGAAAATTGTGTTTGAGCAGTTTCTTCATCGCTTTTTCCGGAGGGTCTTCATCATTAATCCAACCTAGAGAACAACTTCCGAGGATATTCTCATATGTTGTCAAGATACGAACCTGTATCAACTGAAACCATGTAGATGTTTGATTTTTGATAATCCATCGCTGACGTTCGTGTCATCATGTTCAAGGCTGCTTTCGCAGCATTCGTATGTGGATGCCGATCACTTTTGTTCAAACGAGAAAACGAACCTTCCATAGCTGACACATTGATAATAAACTTAATATCATTTTCGTTTGGATGACGGTCAGCCATTAAAATTTTTAGTTTACTGTTGAGAATAAATGGTGCTAGAGTATTGATCGTCAGAACTTCATTGACTTCGTTGACTGATACATCACCGAGGCGTAATAGCCACGAGTTAGTCGTGCGAAGATCAATCGGCTGTTGATTCACATCGAATGTAGCTGTGCTAGTGATTGACGATGTTTGTTCAATCGTACCATTCGATTGATTATTCGTCGAAGGTAAAGCTAGACAGTCTGATATATTCTGAATCCGGTTAGAAAGTGGAACTAAACGTTGATAGAATTGTAAATTTCCTTCGAGAATGTTCTGTTGATCATTTGGTAAAAGTGAATAATTCGTCAATCTTTCATTTTTATACAAATATTGATAGTAATCTTTAGGCCGTTGGATTGTTTGACATGCGTTATTGATTAAAAAATCTAGTCGGTGGTATTTTTCGAGAATCATTTCTGTGAAGAATTCCACTAATTGTGAATATCGAAAGTCAACACCATACACATGTATACGATCCTTCCATTGCTCGAAATCTTGTTCTTTGTGCAAACGATGCAGAAAGTCCATCGGAAAGCGACTTGTCGCAATCACAAAACAATTCGCACGTAATAATTTCAGAACGACTCGAAAGCCAATTTTCACTCGACCACCGGTGACTAGAGCTACACGATTTGACAGATCTGTTGTTTGCAAACGTTTCTCATAATTAAACGTTGCACACGATGGACAGAGTCGATCGTAGAAAAAGTGTAATGTTCGATATTTTGCTTTACAGACGTAGCACGCATCTGGCTGAAGCAATTCCTGAGAAAAGTCAGCACACGTTTCCTGGCTTCCGATTTGCACAACGCCATCCGGGACGAGAACATCCTTCAATTCGAGCTGTTGAAGTGTTTGAGCTCGACCCAATCGAAGCAAACAAGTGTTTTTCGCAGTTTGATCTAGTTGTCGAATTCGCCGACGATCGTCTTTGGTCTTCTTTCGAGAAACTCGCTGTTCCTTGGTGTACAAATCATGGATTAATGGTCGAATGAGATTGTATTCACTCGATGTCATTGATGGATATCCATCGTTAGCTTGAAATTTTAAGAGAACTTTCACACAGATGGCGAGGTCAGCCGCTGAAATCGTAGATACAGGGTCAGTTTCTGTCATTACAGTCTGTCTCCTAAGGTTTCATCATGTAAAACGAAGACTAACGATATAAGTAGTGAAAAAATTCGACATAACCTTGTAGTTTTTTATTTCACAACACGAGCGCAAAGTGTATGTTTTGAGAAAAGGAGAAAGAAATAAAGCTATACTGATGGGATGAGTCATCAACATCATCAGTGGTAACAGTGAAAATGAGAGAAGATTTTTAACCTTAACATACTCACCGATGCGCTTAGTTGGAACAATTACGATGTCTGTTGCACAATACAACTGGTATGAAATGCACTACTTTTCTCTTTGAAGAACAATTTGAATGAAATCGATTCTTCGAACATGTCGAGATACTTCATCATCGCTGCGCTTTTAGCTACAAGTAAATCAATACAAAAGAAACATTTCCCGGCGAAAACATTTTCTTTTTATCGTTTAGATCTGAGTGTTTCAATTGGTCCGTATATTCGCATCTGTAATCATGGTGCTTTTCTAGCCAAATGTTATCTTGAAATGCAAACGCTCACTTATGGACTATTCATTCGTCGATCTGATACCGGATTATTTCCCGTAGTTCAATGCGCGACTCTAGACATACCTTATGATGTTGTTTGGTCACAAATGGAATGTAAAGCACTGACATTTATTGCCACTTATCGATCAATATTTATCACAGAAATTCCATCAGGACTGCTTAATACCTGTTTTAGTCTAACTGGCACGACACTAAACCCATCGTGGTTACAAACGCGTTGTTAACTTGATTTCATTCGTGAAAAAAGAAATCTTCTTGATGGTACATTGCTTGATGTTTTTTTCTCAATAAAGTGTTGAATTTTTACTTCTTGCTACATGCAGTGTTCACATTCGGTCACTAGTGACATCTAGTAAGATGTTTTGTTTACAAAAACATTGACATGCTCATATTTAGCATAGCGACAGCGACATTAAGCTATGTTATATTCTGTTTCGTTCAGCGGTTAACCACTTGACCGAAAGGCTAAGACAAACATGAATCATATATCTTATTCGTTCTCGTCTTAATTCCAATGAGATAGATCGATCGTTTTTTTATTTTCCTGCACATTAGGTCGACTAAGGAAAATATTTTTTTTTCTCTCTCGTCGGTTTTTCTTGTTGATGGCAAAATAGCTATCATATCGGTCTTATAAAATCTTAAGTCAACACAGGAGATACAAAGCAATGATCTTAATTAGCTATCCCTTTTCTCACACCATATTACTGCAGTTAATTTCTACGAATCTGATCAGCATGTTGATTTATTGTTGTGACATCCGTTTTCGTTTCTCATTCCCAACTAATTCGATGCAATCATGCTGAGCAGTTGTTTTTTGTTTTAGAACTATCGATTTGCTCGTTCAAGATCTCTTATTTCTTCTCGAACACCGGTGAGCAAAGACAATGACGACCAGTGATGGTGTCACTCTTCGTCATCCCCCAATTCCAATGGTTGATGTTCATCCTCGATTGGATATCGATACAATATCGATACTTAGTTCTCAATCGGATAGTGTTCCACATTTATCATCCTATATTGAATCTGACGATGAAGGCAAGGGTTTGGTGGGCAGTAACTCAACACGTTTACATGAAGCGATCGCTCAAACCTCATCATTAACATCCGCATCTCAACATCAACCGTCGGCATTCAAAAAAGATTGGGCTATGTACTTGACGAAAACAAGTAATGGTGGTCATAATAAACACCGTCATAATAATGAAAGTTCAAGTGATACAAGTGAAAGTGACGATGATGACGAATCATCCTCGAGTATTTCAGATGATAATGGAAGTGATCAAGACTTTGTCGATGATCCATGGACAATAAATACCGTACAACGAGAATATTATACAAAACAATTTCGAGATATTCAGCCAGATATAACAAAAATAATCAGCGGTAAATGATATATTTACGATCTATGATCCGATTTGATAGGAGATGATTTTGATTTCAGGTAATATAGCAAAAGAATTCTTCGAACGCTCACATTTACCAACAAGTGAATTATCACAAATTTGGAATCTGTCGGATGTTAATCATGATGGTGCATTGTCACTTGCTGAATTTTGTACTGCTATGCATCTTGTTGTTCTACGTGTTAACGGTTTCGAATTGCCTGATGAACTTCCACCACAATTACAACCATATACACCATTAATTGATTTATCCGATTCGACAACGCAGCTATCACAAACAAATGAACAAGCAGAGAATTGGGCAAACTTTAAAACTACTAACAGTGAATTGCCACCTAATCCACCATTAAATCACGATGAAAATCCAAGTGCACCAAAACAATTCACCTACGGGCCACCATTACCTGACAATCACCGTATTGTCGCGCCAGTTGCTGTTCGTCTATCTCCGCCACCTCATTTACCACCGACGGCATCAGTTACTACTCCAAGTGCGACATCGAAACCACCACCACCTCCGCCGCCACCGCGTGTGCCTGGGCGAACAGCGTCAATTGATATTCCTCCCCAACCAGTTCTACCACCACGTACAATAGTCAATGACACACCTCAACGAAGTCTCACCCTAACTACCAGTAATAACAATAGTTCGTCTACGAATACGACGCCCTATTTCTACAATCGAACGCGACCATCGGTTGCATCTACACCTCAACAACCGGATGCAAACATCCTTCTTGGCCAGATACGCGATTTATTACAGCCTGATCATTTACAAGAATTAGCCGCAATTATCTCAACACCATCAGCGACCACGACTGAGAATCTCCACGTAGCATTAAATCAAACGAAAACACGAAATTCAGTACTCAAAGCCCAATTGAAACATTGGGAAGATCGACTGACAGATCTCATTGATAAACGTATCTCATTAGAACTTCAATATAAACTGCAACAGCAGTAGTAATAGCAATAACCATAACGACTTCACTTGTTAGAATCAAGTTGTGTATCGATATACACATATAAACGAAGAGCGCCTCTTTTGTTCGATCCAATCGGCATCTGTGTTCTTGCTCAATATATTCCTATACATTCTTCTTCTTCTTTTTGTCTCGAAACGAAACTTTTCTCTCATTTGTTTTTCCTTTTGTTCTTCTCACAAGTTTATGCTCATCTTTCAACGTGTGCACATTTATTCTTATACATATACGTATATATATATATATATATATAAATAATTGTCTCTCTTGTTTTTTTTTGTTCCAATTCATCGAATAACATATATGAATTTCAAAATGCTTTCTCTTTCTCTCTTTTTCACTTTTCTTGAAAGTAATCATGTGAAGAATGTGTTCTTATCTATCAGAGAATGTTAAATGAATAATGAAAACTTTGCATTTTACAAAGAAAACCTTTGTCAAAGAGTTAGTTTTCTTTTTCTAGATTGATTTCAGATGATTCTCTTGTGTGCAGCATCTGAAATGTTTATTCAAGTCCATTTTGATTCCTGATAAAGAAGAAACTTTAAATGATTGTTTTCCTAGATACTCCTAATGATCAGAGCAGTAGTCGATTGATTGAAGCTATCGATCAGTCGTTTATTATTCTAAGCCATATCTTGATCGCAGCAGCTGGTGGGAAAGAAATTTGATAATAAGGCGTAAAGATTCTTTTCTTAGGAAATACATATCGTATGATTTTTCCGATAAACACGAATTCAGGTTGTTTTTATGTTTAGATGATTAGATTTTTGTTGAATATTCCTTCAAATATTCTTCAATTTGACATTTCGTAATCAATTTGCAATCGAATGGATGACCGTTCTCATGTTTTTCTAATAAAAGACAAAATCCGTTGTATTCAAAAAAAGATTATGGATCAATTAGCCGCTGATCTCAATAGCGCACTAAATGATGCTCATATCCTTCCGACATCATCATCATTACCGAATATACCAATAGCATCCTCATCATCTTCCGTAACAATAACAAAAATCAAACGTCGACGTAAACGACCGGTCAATAATGAGATGCAACAGCAGAAACTTGATGTATCCGATAGTACCACGCCTGAAAATAGTCAAAGTCGAAGTCAGAATAATAAGCAATCTATTGTCAGTGATAGTGACGATATGCAAATGCAACCCAGTAGGAATCTTTGCCGAAAACAAAAGTAACAATGGATTTTCTCGTGTTTGATTTAGAAACGCAATCGTCGTCGTTAGCAGCCGCATCCGAGTCAGATTCGGCGTCACAAACCGATGATGTCCAACGACGCCGTCGTCCATTTAAAAAACCGATCATTCCGCCGACAACAACATGCATATGGAAAACTGGCCAACCGATCAAATTAACGCGTTGTCCAAGCGCCAAAGTCGCGAGTGTTACAACGATAAGTACACCTTTACGTCGTCGACGTCGGAATTGTCGCAGTGATAGTCATTGCCGTATAAATGATCTTCCTGCAAGTTCATCAACCGTTTCCTCCTCATCGTCAATCTCATTATCTCATCAGAATACGAACTATGCTGGTAAACGCAAACGTTCTCGTACAATAGTTCATGACGATTATCGACTACGAAATAATAGTCTACAGGATTACGATATGACGTGTATCGATGATCAGAATCTGTAAGTTATACCCAATGTATCGATATGTTATATCTATTTGTGTTTGATATCTTTCAGAACGAACTTCAGCAGTAGTAGCAGTTTAAATTTAAGTGATAGTGATAAAGATCCGTGTTTAACAAGCAACGAAGCCGATGATGAACAATCGGATTGGCCACGAGATGAAAGTAGCGTACCGCGTATGATATCATGGTGGGAAGATAACAATGATAACAAATCCGATCAAGATGATGAAGACACTGATGAGAAAATGTTAACGACGACCGACAGTACTTTACAAAAAATAGTGAACGGCGCACTCAGTATGATGCTAACAAATTCCAAAACAACGGTTCAAAATCGAATCAAAACATTTGCTGATAGAGAAATGTTAACAGGCAATCGAAGAAATCTTGGATCGAAAGTAAGATGCATGTGCAATGAATACTTCTTCAAACGAAGCCTTTGAATTGAATTCCAATCAACTGTCTAGATGTAGTCTAAGAATATATTATAGTGAGATTCTCTTTGTATGAATGGATGACCTAAGACTATCGGATGCTTCTATGGGTTTAACATTTGTGATCTTGGTATGATCGATATTTTCATATTGAAAATAGAAATGACTTGTGCGTACGCAAATGAACTAACAAGGTGAAAAAAATACATTATGCATTCGTACACGTCATGAAGTCGTTTTTTCATTCGCTCGTTTTCATCTTACACTTATAGTTCAAGGCAATGAATTGATCGAAAGGGCCGCTATCTACGTTAACATTTATATTGATCTTTTTTTAGAATGCCTGTACTCATCCTCATCAAAAACGGCATATTCGCTTATTAAAAGAAGCTCGTCGTTCACATCATAATAGTTACAACCATAAACGAGTCAAAAACGACCATTATACATATAAAAACAGTGCGTTACGACATTGATTTCATTTTTCTCCATATGATTTCGTTCGTTAATAGATGAGATCATTGCTCCAATTGATGAGACTAATATTGGTCATCAGTTATTAGAGAAAATCGACTGGACTCCTGGTAATAGTCTTGGTATCAATCAAAATGGCGTCACCGCTCCTGCACAAACCGATTATCAAAACCATCGGCAAGGTTCAGGTTACGAAAACGCGTCAATGGACATCAGTGAACGTATGGAAAATGAGCAAACGTCTACATCTCTCTCGAGTCATCCGTCTCATC